GTCTGCAGTTTGTCTGGAGACCGCCGCAGAACAGACAGTTGCTGCTGTCGATGTCGATGCTTCTGTCCTTAACTGACGTAGATGCAGATGCAGATGCGACGCAGTTGCTGCTGCTGGGCTGTGTTGTTTGTTGCATCCAAATATGGACCATGGCTGGCCTGGTCTGGTCTGGTCTGGTCGCTGTGGCTCTGTCCTGCAGTGGCAGTGGCAGTGGCAGTGGCAGTGGCAGTGGCAGGTGAAGCAGCCGCACTCAGCGCAGGCAGGCTCTTCGGATAGTTTGTGGCTGATGCTGATGCTGCTGCTGCAGTTTCACACATTGCGTTTCGTAAAGTTATTTAAATGATATGCATATGCAATGTAGGAGCTCTTCTGGTGCTCTGTCGTCCGTTTCGTCGCGTCGCGTCGCGTCGCGTTGTCTGGTAGCTGTAAACTGAGACTGCGACTGCGACTGGGACTGGGACTGGGACTGAGACTGCGTTTGTCTTCTTGGAGTTTGCCTTTGCCAGCAATTATGAGCGTCTGGCCGTCTGGCATTTTACAATATTTTTAATTATCTCGTTTTTTTTTCCCAAGCACAGATAACCATCGCATATTGGAGTTGCTTCTTTTTGAGCCACAACACGCCAAATTGTCGCCGCTGTTAATTGCCTTCGGTCGGCCATCTTGTCGGGACTTGTCGATGACTAAGCAAAGAACGAAACTTGGGGTCTGGAGGCTGCCTCCTGGCTCCTGGCTTCTGGCTCCTGGCTCCTGGCTGTCTGTTGTCTTACTAACATGGAACGTAAATTAATGCAGATACGAGCAGTCCCCTGTCCTGTCCATGTCCAGACATGGCCAAGACAGCCAAGAACCACCACCAATTTGAGGTGTGGTGTGTGGTAGTAAAAGTGAAAAGTAACTCTCAGCCAATGGATCGCAATCGTCACTTTATCTATCGAATGAGGCACCTGTCGCCACGCCATCACTATGAGCGGACTGGCCAGACCATTGAGTGATAGAGTCTGCGAATGAGCTTCAGATTCAGTCTCTAAATAAATAAATGAAGATGCAACCAGGCCGTAAATGGCATAAATGCCTTCCATACCCTAGCATTCTCCTCTCGTTACGTGATTACATATAGACATATAGTAGCTGCTGCAGAAGTATAAATAAATATTGTACATACAATATATCGGTTTTGGGTCTGAAGCGTATTTATAAGTACCGCAGGGAAAGGGACTCGATGCCTGGGATGGCTGGGACGGCACGTGCCGGCACGTCAGTATGCCATGCCAGACCCTTCCTATCCCTGCCAAGATGACGATGGCAAGCAGAATGTACGAGTATGTATAAATTGTGGGCCAGGTAGGCCATAGCTATGGCAATGACATATAAATGAATGAAATGTCGTTTATGGTAATTTTTCCCTGTCCAAGTATGTGCTGCGGGTTCGCGAAACTATGCCAATGATGGACAACTTTTCCAAATGGGGTTAATAAAATCGAAAAATCTCCGAAATGGGAACACTTCTCGGCTATACTCGTATAAGGAGACGTGTGCGCATCATACTTGCCCTATTTTAAGTTTAAAACTTAATGTTAACACATTTAAAGTGTTTGTATTCTTTATAAACTTTAAGGTCTTTTGAGGACTCACAATGCACAAGAGTCTGTTTAAGAGTCTAAGCCTCTTGTTTTTGTTCTACATGTATTCAAGCACCTTTTAAAAAATATGGACACCCAATTGACATGTAATTTCATTACTTTTGATCTGAAAACCTATTAAAATAAACAAACTTTACCTTTTTCGGTATTTTTAAATTAATGTTTTCCTTTACTTTCATCTCCTATAAGAAAGATGATTCGGATAACACTTTTCCCCCAAAGTCTCTCTTACAAATTTAACTATCTAAAAAATCACAGAAAATTAGCCCAGTCTCGGCTAACGGTATAGTTTTTAACTTTTAATAGTTGTAATGTATTTTGTAAAGTCTTAGTATAAAAATATGTTATATATGAAATAAAATGGACCGTTTCATTCTCCTATTTTACATTTTGTCGTACGAATGTAACCTAACCCCAGAATGGAACTTCCCTTATGCAGTTATTTTCAGATCAGAATGTGACATATTTCTATTAATTCTATCAAGACGGGAAATACACTACACGAAAATACACGTCATCTCGAATTCAAATTATAACGTTTTTTACACCACTTTAGTACATGACAATGCATTTGGTTCCCGCCTGAAAGCATGCTTAACATACGAACTTTTTAATCTAGATTTCACTCGAAATAATGTTATTTGGGGTCCATTTTTTCATATTTTTGCGCATATATTTATCTTCCTATTATCTCTGGAAAAAAGATAACCTGTCATCGGGAATAAAAGGGTCAAAAAATCACTTTTAAACAAATTTCAGTAACGGTTTTACTGTGGCGCCACTGAATATGTAGATATTCATGTACGAGTGAAAAAAACTACTTCGGTAAAATATGCCACAATTGGATATTGGCCGGATCTATCTAGGTTTCTCGCCAAAGGAACACGTACATATATAAATACTTATTGTTGAGATATTGAGATACTTTATTAAAAGCCTACGATTGTTTGGTTTCATACGGTTTATTGTGGGTGATGGTATATAATGCGATACAGAGTGGAAGGAATAGCGAAGGGTTCGTGTTTGATTTATGACGAGAGCACGAGTCTGTTGGACGACTAGCTCGTTTTAAGAAGGTCTAGACTAAATTCAAGGGTCAGGACCGCCTGCGTGATTGCACGTGCTCTAATACAAGAGAGAGCGATGGGGAAGGCGAAAGAAAGAAAGTCGCGGGAGAACGGCTGCATAGGCTGCTACCGCTAGGAGGCATATGTATGTATGTATGTATATAGGTTACGGTGTGGTATAGTGGATTTAACTCCACTTGGATGGAACTGCTTCACCCAACACCTAAGTTTACCTCAAACTATCGAAACTCCATTACACCCAAGTACAAATTGTCATCACAAATTCAACAATAGCTAGTTTTTTTTTTCTATTTACATATCATATTAACGGATCAGCTGGACCATGATGTGCGACGTAGGAATGCCGTGCGTATATGATCCGGGTCAGTGCACGGCTCCGGCCAACGTGAAGCCGCGCTTGTTCACGATCATGCTGCTCCATTGCTGGCAGCGGGAGTACGACAAGCGACCGTACAAGAAGTTCCAGTTCCGGAGACTGGACTTTGAGGAGCGTATTGGTCGGAGATACCATTGTATTCGTGACTTTCGCATCATCGTGAACTTTCTGTTGCGCCGATCCCTGCTGGAGGTGTCCATCTGGAGCGTGGTGGTTAGCAACTGGGATGCAAAACTGCTGCAGGAGTTTGCCCTCTCGCTGATTAGCGTGTGGAAGATCGAGCTGAAGCTCATGCAGCTGCCAACCGAGTTCTTTGTGATGTTGCGCCTCAATGCGGCAAAGATGGAGGTCGTCGAGCTCAGTTTGGAGGGTAAGAGAGGGTCTGCCGGAGTCCCAGGTCCAGTAAGTCACCGTCTCACCCACAGGCACGCCCCTCAGCGATCAGAATGTTCGTATGCTGCGAGAATTCTTGCTGGTCAACAAGACCCTGCACACCCTCAACGTGTCCCACTGCAGTCTTACCCAGTACAACTTCGCCCTGATAGCCGATGGCGTCCACAAGTCGGGTGTGCGCAGCCTGAATGCCAGCCGCCTCCTGGGCCTCAAGCTCAGCCTGGACACGGAAAAGATGGCCTCAATAATTGGCTCTCTTCTGATGCAGAACCACCTAGTTGTGCTCACTCTGCAGCACTGCGAGTTCACGGCCCAGGACATGCAGCCCATTTCCGAGTATCTGTACGGAAGCAGGTGCGCATTGCGCGAGCTCAATCTGGCCAGCAATCTGATTGCCGCCGATGGCACCCTTTTCCTAATGCGAGGCATAGCGCAGGGTGGCGGCCTGGAGCTGCTGGATATTAGCTGCAACAGTATTGGCACCCATGGCGGTGAATGGATCGCCATGTATCTCAGCTCGTGCCGTATGCTGCAGCACTTGTATCTAAACTACAACGACATTGGAGAATCCGGCATCAATCTCATTCTGCTCACCATCAAGAAGGAGTCAAAGATGAAGCGCCTGAATCTCTATGGCAACAGTTTCGATTCTCGCTCGGCCATGATCGTGCGGCGATTACTGGACGCAGAGGTGCTGTTCCACGAGGAAATCGATATAAGTTATACCTACGATGAGGCCCTGCAGGACTATCGCATTGTGCCCTGGCGTTGACAGGAGAAAGGATAGTATTTGCCTTCAAAAAGTTGTGTTAAAATTATTCAAATAAAATGAATCTAGCCTTCCGCATGAGCTATTGATTGGCAAAGTTTCCTACCAATTAGATGATTACTACTAGTATTGACAGTTTTGTTTCCATTTCCATCCGTTATCATCATTCTTCTTGCTCATCTCTAGTACCTGCAGGAAGAAAAGCTTCCCGCCGCACACGTGCTTCTATTTCCATCTCTGTCTTCGTGCGAACTGAAAAGATGAATGAAATGAGTCGACAGACGAAAGCGTTGCCAGGCTCTGCAAAAAAATGACCTCTTTTGAGAGAGAGCTGACACAGCTTAAAGCTCTGGTTAAACAGCTGTGCGATGTCTGGCAACTTTCGCTTTCGTTTCCTTCCTTCCGGCTTTTGCTTTGTTATTGAGAGAGCGCTGCTCTCTTGCATGTTAATGTGTGCATGTGTTTGTGTGTGTGTGTGTGTGCGAGTGTGTCCTTAAAGTGTGTCTGAGTGTGTGCATTATTGTTGGCAATTTCAAAGTCAAAAAAACAACAACAATAAGAGCATTATGCGCAGCCAACAACTGCGAAGCATTGAGAACAGAACAGAGCTTGAGCAGCAAACGAGACACGACGCGACACGAGGCAAAAGCAGCAGCAGCAGCAGACACAGAGGCAGGCCGCGACGACAGGACAACGCCAACGTTATCCTTGTTGAGAGTTTCGCAATATATTTGTATTGCAGCAGTCTCAACGAAAGCGTCGAACCAACCTAATCGCATCGAACACCCGATTAAACGGTCAGAAAACTTCAGCAAAAAAATGCAGTGACAATTTCTACACAAATAACATAAAATAAATGAACTGAAAAAACAGTTAAAAAAAAAACAAATAGTTTATTTGCCAATAAATAAATCCTTGAGTAAAAATCTTGGTCCTGTGCGCACGTGTATCTTGTATAATTCTTGTATAACTTTCAATCAAACTTCAAGCAACAATCTGAGGAAAAGTGTTCGGAAACTGTCTCAATTATTTGCCATTACTTTAGCTACATTTTGTTTGTTTGCTTGCAGACGGCTGCTGCTGCTTCCTTTGAGCTGAGCTATCTTTAATCAAAAAAAATAAAAAATAAACAACAAAAAATCACGCCAACAACCCACCTAAACTTAACCAAACCTAAACCAAGCTCTCTGCTGGAGTACAACTAAAGGCAAACTCAACTACGTAAACTCGACTAAAACTGAAGCAGAAACAGGAGCAGAAGCAGAAAGCTGTTAAAACTTTTACTTTTACTATTACTCGTACAAAACTAAACTAAAGAGGAACTGGCCAAAAGCCCAGCCGGGGCCAAGTGAGCAAAATGAACGACAGTCGACGCAACACGGCCACAGAATTTAGCTACATTCTTCAGCGTCAGGTGAGTCAATGCCAATGTCTACTGTACTCCACTGTAATTACACTGTACAATATATGCACTTACAATTACTACAGTTTGATATGAGCCAGTTTTTGGCGTCCCAGCTTGACTTCAACCAAGCTCGTACTAGTAGTTCTTTTGTTGCACACTAATTGCACCCACTCGGATGCGCCAGCCAACGCAGGAAACCCAACTAATTGCACACACACGGACTAAACTGGGGGGCTATTACCCAGATGAACCTCTACCCTACAGCGCTTTGACAGATCTGCTTCGCCTACAGGGCAAATTTAATAAATGTTCGCCTTCTTTTTGTCCACATTGTGGCAATCTTACACAATTTATATCGTCAACATGTTGTGGCTTGTCAAATGAATTGTTAATAAACAACAGCCCTTGTCAATCCATCAAAATGTACCCATCCATGGAAACCATCCTGGAAACCATCCTTCCTTCTCCCGCAGGCGTTTTGCATACACCAATCTGGCTGCAGGATTTCGGCAGCTGCCGATGCTCGAGCCCCGATGCCACAATGGATTATGCTCAATAATCCCTTAAGCTCGTTATGGATTCCATTTCATTCCTTTCGCTTTCTGAAATTGGCTTGCGTGTCCGCCATACACACACACGCATACAAGCATACACGAGGACGAAAACTGTTAAATCAATTTGTTTTCATTCACCCACTGCCAACTGGCACGAAAACGCTTTCCCAGCGATGTCCCAACCCCAACAGGACCTTTCCCGTCCTCCCCGCCCAGGCAATGACACATTACAATCATCAAATCGTGTCCTGATTGAGTGATAATCAAAATCACAATTCACAACAACATGCCACGGCCCTGGTATGATTAATGGATAGATCCCACTACACAGGCAGAACAAACAGAAGTGTTCTGAAGATAGAAATTCGAAGATACATTGTCTCTCCGATGGCCTTTATGGGGCGAGAACTTTTGTGAGGAAGGAACGCAGCGAACTTTTTAGGGACTTTAAACTTCAGTGGAAAATTTAATTAAGCCTTAAGCTCCCAAGAGTGCCGCTCGCATACTTGATAACAAAATCAATAAGAGGCAAGAGCGAACACGACCTTTAATTACACAACACATACTCGAGTGGAGGAGGATTTATGAGGCCTGCTCCACAAACCGATGAGTGGAGCCTGACTTGCACTTGCCTCATCCGCATCCTCATCCGCATCCGCATCCTCATCCGCATCCTCATCTCTGCCGCATCCCCATCCACTTAATCGCCACGTTTAGTATTCAAGGCATGTGGCGCCCTGGCATCTGCTGGCTGGCCTTGGCCAGGCTCGCTGCTGTGCCAGCTGAGGCATCAAATAAGAATGTCAGCAACAGCAGCAGCAGCAGCAGCAACAGGAACCGTGATAGGGACAGGGATAGGGAGAGGGAGAGGGACAATGACAATGACGCCCACGATGAGATAACAGAAATCAATGTCAGAGAGGCATCAGCCAGTGCACTGGCTAAACTCGGACAGACTGGGCTTCCCTCCCCCACTCCCTCCCACGCCCCAACAATTAACTTCTATTAGAATTTCAAATTGGCCACTAAGCCCCACTAATTCAATCCCAATACCAATCCCAATCCCAATTGACCCAATTAAATCAAACGTCACTCGGGCCAAAAGAAGACAACGGAAAACTGAACAGGAATACCCAATTTAAATAAATTTCAAATCCAATGGCTATTGATGGCTGTCAGCAGACCCAAACAGGCAGGGAGACTACGTCTACGTCTACAACTAAGTGGATGATGGAGTGTGGGTACGGGTGCTCGAGTGGATGAGTGGTGTGTGCCAGGCACTCGAGCTGAAAGTGAATTGTGGTCGAGCAAGTGTCAAGTGCAAATTGTGTGGAGGCGTACCATGTGGCGTATGCGTAATGTGTCTGAAGAATTATGCAATGCACACAAAACTGTTGCATACCTGGATGGGTTGGAGCCTAGGCTGACAGGCAATCAAAACGAGTCGCAAATCTCATCCGTGGCCCCTGCCTTAAGACGTCGTCGTGGTCGTTGGCAGGTTCTTCTATCCATCTCGTGGGGATCTGGGGATCGGTGGGTGGTCTGCATTGTGTGTCCTAAATGGTTTCGATTTCCCGTTTGCCTTGCAAAGCGATTTCGGCTCTCTGATGGATTCTTCCTCACCCGCCGCGCGCGCTTTCTTTGTGGGGGAAACAATAAAAGCAAACGCGTTCTGGGCCACTGTGTTTCTGTATATGTATCTGTGGCTGTGGCTGTGGTTGTGGCTCTGTCTGCATCTCGGAAATTGACGAGGGAAACGATAAAAAGGAAAGATACTCGTATTCAACCATCCACTGAGCCCCGCGCATTTGCCACAGCGGAAGGGGAGTGCAGATATATTGTATACACACGTGTTCCATAAAGATACATACGAGTATATGCACACACTCGTATAAAGATAGAAAATATATGTATTTCACATGCGAATAAATTGGGATTGTTTTTTTCGATCCGACACCCCCTCAATTTTGGTATGCAATGCACATATGTATATATTCGTATTCTCGTATTCTCGCATGTTTTTGTTTTTCTGATTTGATACATATTTTTGTTTGATTTTTTTTATGGGGCATGGAATTGGAGTGCTGGTGCTGTGACAGCCCCGCTCAATGGCTATGAAGTGAACTCGACTTTAATGGTTAACAATTTGATTCTTATTCATTTCAACAGGGCAGCGATGTGTCCGTTGCCGAGGCCTATGCATTCGACGACTTCAACAATTTAATGAAGGTAAAATTTGACCTACATTCCCAGTCATTCTTCTAGTCCCCAGCTGCACTCGCACTGCCATTCGTAGTAGTCCACATTCACATATAGTACTATTCCTCTTCACATTCATTAAATTCCAAGTGCCGCCTTCACATATACATATGTACCCAGAGAACGAGAACGAGAATGAGTCAGAGTCAGAGTCAGAGAGCGGAAGGAACATTTCAGGCATTCTGGCCGCGACCTTTTCCCAGGTCTTTTGGGTGGCCGACTGCCATTCGTGGTCCAAACTGCTCTTGGTCTCTGGACATCAAAAGAATTTTCTTATTAAGAAATATTTTCCTGTCGCTGCTGTTCTACTCTGTAGACTTTGCCTTCGTGCGCTCATTATTAAATATTGCATCAAACAAAATCTCGTACCAGTTGATAACGATGATAAATTACAATCAAAAATGTACCATATTTCTTTCGAGGTGGAAAGAAACATTCATTGGAGTGAAATAAAGAAGAGGTGCCAGTACATAATTTGGAAATAAATACAAACTAAGCCGTCCAAAAGTGAGGACCACAAAACAAAAGGATAAGCTGAAGCTTAGAACAGAAAATAATACCAGAGAATGTCAGCCACAAAAGGGATTTCCTCTACATGCTTGCTTTTTTGGGGGGAAAAAGGGGAAAGGAAAGCAATAAATGTTGGCCTAGAACTTGAAGAACGGAACATTGTGTAATATTTGATGCATTACCATGCATAAGTAAGGAATTTCATTCGGATCCCTCTCTCTCTGGAGCCCGTTGTGTGGGTGGGTGGCTTTTGTTGTTTTCTTAGGCCCTCGCACAGAAAGTTTTGCTGTTGGCGAAGCCATTAGGCAGCCAAGGCTGTCCGAATTCCGACATTAAAAGTAGCCGGGATGGGTGTACGGTGCGGAAAAGGAGTCCTGATTGTTTGCTCAACTAATGGCCGCGTCGCCACCAAGGCAAATTGCCAATAGTTGAGACGCTCTCAACCACCTCGTGGCTGGTTCTCAATTAGGCTTTTCTGTGGGCCACAGTCGAAGATGGCTGATTAATTGCAGTAGAAAGCAGTTAAAAGGAACGGCAGAAATTGAATTAAGCACTGAAAATGCCAGTCAAAATGTGAAGGACAGGTCGAAACCTACCATTTTAAACCTACCTCTAGACTGTGCGCCATTTGGCTGCCTTGCATGTTTGTGTTTTCTTTGGCACCGCATGGTGATAGCGGTGGGAGCCGGGGTGGGCCATGGGCTCTGTTTGTCTATCCTCATGTGTGCAGGCAGCCCAGGCAACGGCATGGCGGTGGCAACAATTGCAACGATGTCGACACGTTGTGTCAATATTTCCCCCCCCAGCCAAAACACAAGCTGCAGTGCAAAAGTTGAGCAATTCCTGCGGCGAGTGTCACGTTAACATTTTGCCACTCGCATCATTTTGGGTCCCGTCTCCCCTGTTAGCATAAACCATTCACCCCATGTCCATGCCCACCGGCACAGTGTTTGCCTAAACGTTTCCATTAAAGTGAAAATTGTTACTCCCATTGTGTTGCTTTCTTTCGTTCTAATTTCATTAGCCAAGCCCGGACTAGCCAAAAATATTTGTCCATTTTTAATCAAACAATTTCCTTGGGCTATTGCAGCATCCCTCGTGGGGTATATGGGCACTTGGCTGGGATAGGAATACAATAGAAAGAGGGAGGGAGTGCTTTGGAGATGTATTGATCCCTGCAAAATACAAAACACAAGCTATGGCAAATATATCGCAATATAAATAGAGGGTACATTTGATTCGATCATTAAGTTAGATGTAACAGCAACAGGAAATGAGGACGAGAGTTGGAAAGGCAGGAGCAGGGTATGCGGGATCCCCAAACACATGAGTGTTATTAATTAAAATCGTGCAGTGCATGAAATGGTTTGTTTGCCATCAGGCCCGGCCCACTCTCTGGACCAGGTCGGAATCGTTTTGGCTTGGCGTGATTTCAGGCTTCTGGATTCTCATGGAGATTGCCTTCAGTGTTTCGGGTCTCAGGTCTCAGTGTTCCTATTTGTGTTTGTGTTTGCCTTCGACAGTGTTTGTCTTTTATTAGAAAGGTTCTGTTAGACAGGACAGGTACATATATTTGCTGGGATGGCCTGCCCGTGCAGGGGGGGGGACCGGGACCGTATACGTGAGCATCCGAGAAAGCCTCGAACAATTTGCATCTCTTGTTCGCAGTTCCCTGTTTCTCTGTTTCCCTTTTTTCCATTTTCTTTTCGTTGTTGCCTTTTTCCTGCTTTACACGCTGATTCCTCAATCGAGTTTCGACTGAGATTTTTTTCGGCCGTTTTCGCTTTTTCCTTTTTGGCAATTAATTGGATTTGCAAGGTTTAATTGCTGACAAGGGAATGCCGACAAATTATTTATGAGAATTTTTACTGGAAATTCAAGGAGGCTTTTATGTGCATAAATATTCGTTGGCCCAGCCCAAAAGTGCGGACAGCACAATTGTCCTGCATCAGACTTCCGGTTGCCGGCTCTCGGCTCGTGACTCCTTTTTGATATATGAATAATTCCATTCCCAAAAATATGCTCGATTGCACAACGGCAACAGACTTTGTTCATTCATACATATCATTTATTCAGTCATTTATTTATGATAATCTGTGAGGATAGTTTCATTCAGGTTGAGGGACAAGTGGCAATAAAAATGTAATGTAGGGGTAATGTTTCCAATGATGAAATAATCAAGTCAACTGGCTATAAATTATCCCGTTTAGTGTGTGGCATTGTTTCACCCACTCGTATTGCATCACCCGCTCCATTACGGAGTGGAGTGGGTTCCCGGAGCTTTGAAAGGCGAGGATAGCGCACAGCCCTGCAGCCCTGCTCCCCTGCAGCCCTGCACCCCTCAGACTCGAGATTAACGTTGGCCCATTTGCCTTCTCCATTTGCCATTCGACGCGGCAATTTGTTTTTCCTGTGCGGGGGTAGCGTGGAAACGGGGCCAGAGGCCAGGAGACAGAAAACGGAGGACAGAAACAGGACGTCTGACAACGGATACTTTGTAATTTCATTTGGCCGCAGCTGCTGCTGCCGCTGGTCGCAACCTTGCCAGGATGCTCCACCCTTGGCATTGGATTCTTGGCACTGCCACTGGCTCTGACACTGAAGTGTGGCGAGGCCCAGGCCCGTTCTTCATAATTAGCCATTTTCTTTTGATACTCAACGGCACTTTGCCGGGCGGAATGGGTGTCGTGTCTCTAAGAGGCGACCTTTGACGCCACTTAATTGAATTGAAAGCTCAACTCAACTCAACTCGCGCGTAATTTGCCTTTGGAAATGTTCATTACCCATCGCCTGTGCCGACACCTTCGCCCATGACAATCATTTTAAAGTAGTGCGCGGGAAATATTTACGCTTCCTCACTCTTAAAGGAGGAGCGGAGTGAGGTTCTAGTTCTTGATGCGAAACTTTTCCGGCTTTTGTTTGCTGTTTCACTGTTTACTGTTTGAATTCTCCAAAGTTAAGTTGGGAAAACTTCTTTAATTGCCAGCTAGCTGGCAGAACTTTTCCCCGAATTCAGCTTTATCCCTTCTGCTTTTCTTTTTCTCCCTTTTTAGTCATGTGGGGCTGTAAACGTCACCCCCTGCCCATCCCCATCCCCATCCCCGTTCCCTTTTTATTCGGGCCACAGCAGCATTGGCCAGCCTTTCGTGACTTTATGACGTGGCTGAGGAATTTTATTTATGTTTATGTTAGGGCTCTTGATATAAAATTGTCTTTTATGGCAGCCAACCGCGGAGGGGGGTAGGGTGCCATTGGCGGTGCCGGTGCCATGCCAGTTGGATTGGTATCGAAACAATGGCAAAAGCCACATACAACTCATACTCTAACCGACACCGACACAAAGTGATTCTGGCACAACCGCAATTTAGGATACGGATACGAGCTTACCTTTGGCAAGGATGTTGCGTATACGCAACGATGGCTGGTGGATGGGGTGGTGGTGGATGGGGTGGTGGCTCCGGTGGCTTTGCTTTTGATGTAAAGAGCCACTCGAGGCAATCAACGTGCAATATTAGACAGGGGCGAGCTACAAAGAGAGCACTAGAGAGACCAATTTCTATCTTTCCCCAATGCTTTTGTTTCTCCCCTTCCCCATTTCCTAGAACAACCATCAGCCGACACATCAGCAACAGGGACAGCAGCCACAGCAACAGCAGCCGCAGCAGCAGCAACAAAATCCTTCCCAGCAACGGCAACAGCCACAGCAACCACAGCATGCCACGCTGGTCGACACATTGTCCTCGTTGCCACAGGCCTCGTTCAACTATATCAACTCCATTGTAGGCAGTGGCGTCATTGGCATACCATACGCCCTGCACCGGGCCGGGTTCGGCCTGGGCCTGGCCCTGCTCATCCTCGTCGCCTACATCACCGATTACTCACTCATCCTAATGGTGAGTACAGCAAATTGCTCGTTAATTCCGACGAGCAATCGAACTGCGCAAATTGGGGCAGCCTCGAAGCAGGTTTTAAAGTTGAAATCTAGACAAATCCATACCGAATGCCATTCCGTTGGGCATTTGGATATTCTGCATAATCAATGAGAGTCCAAAGCACACACAGCCACCCAACCGCCCACCAATCTGCTCGTGTGTACAACCGTTTAATAGCCGTTCCACTTACAGGTCAGATGCGGCCACATTTGTGGCAGGTTCAGCTATCCGGGCATCATGGAGGCTGCCTACGGGAAGTACGGCTACTACCTGCTCTCCCTGCTCCAGTTCATGTATCCCTTTCTGGGTGAGTAAAGTTTTCCGTGGGTCGCTCCGTGGGTCGGTCGTCTGTCATGCGAGTACACTTATTATCCTCCTCCCCTCAATCTCCGCTCCGCTCTTTATAGCCATGATATCGTACAACGTTGTCGTGGGCGATACCCTGTCCAAAGTGCTCGTTCGCTTCTTCCCCTCCTGGGGCGCCTCGATGGGCGCTGTTCGACTGGGCGTGGTCTTCTTTGTCAACGTCGGCGTTGTGATGCCCCTCTGCCTGTACAAGAACGTCTCCCGCCTGGCCAGGGCCAGCTTCATCAGCCTGGCCTGCGTCGTCTTCATCCTGTTTGCCGTCATCATCAAGCTCATGTCCGGCGATTATAAAGTGTAAGTGTGTTGGCTCTTCCCCTAGCTCTACTTCCTATATATATTTATCAATCGACACAAAGAAGCGTGGGAGCTTGGCAGGTGATAGGTTAATAGTTTTCCTTGATTGGCTGTAGGGGACTTTTTCCGTGAGAATGGGAATGGAGGTTGAAGTTTCCCTAAGAGGGGGGATTAAGATTAAACCCATTTACTCCTTAAACCACTAAGTTTTCTGTAAAAAAGAAGCTATACCCTAATGTTTCTTAGTCTTCCGAGACTGATGATAGCCTGAGTTGTCAGTAACGTTCTGCACCACGTCAATTAAAAAGATAATTAGCAACTGAAGCCATTTGTTTTAAAAGCCATTTATAAAAATTACCAAGCTGAACGTGAACACTTAATGATTTATTTGCATTTTAATTACAAATTGTCCACCTCCAGCCACCATCTGAGCTGCAGTTGAGTTAGGGGCTGCGATTGGCGGTAGGGTGGGCGGTTCTCGGCGGTGGTTCTTTAGTGCCAAGCTAAGTGCCGCTTTAGTGCTTTCAAATCTGTGGCAACTGCCCAGGGCGGTGGCTACTGGTGGAGCTGCTTCGGGGGACGCTCAGCTCATGAAATTTAGTGTTGGGCCACTTGTGTGCCTTTTATGGCTTTTCATTAGTCGGGTCGAGTCGAGGAGTCTGTTGCATCGGCAACTTAGTTGTATGCATACATACATAGCCATGCATATACTATATACATATAAACCAACATAGCTGGGGGTGGGGTCCCATGACCAGCAGCTTAGTCGAGCAACATTTTCTCTGCCACTTTTCAGGGCCACCGAAAAGGGGAGCTGCATATTCAGATTCAGCTTCAGCTTTAGTTTCAGATTAAAAAAGCGGTTGGGGGAGGGCGTGCGGAAGCTCGGTTCACCCTTGAATGTTGCGTCTGTTGCGGGGCATAAAATTTAAATAAATTTCCAATTTGCGGCCTGCCCCACTGTTACGTTGCTTCCTATCTTCCCGCCAGAGCATTTGTTTTTTTTTTGTTGTTTTTTTTTGCTTATTCCGTATGCGAACATTTCACGTTTCCCAGAGCCAGCGAAATGTTAATTTGGTGTTAACTTTTGAGTAATATTTCTTGGGGAAAAACCTTTTCCTCTTCTCCCCTACCTACGATCTTCTCTTCTCTTCTCCTTACACCTTTTCCCCTCTCTGTTTGCCCTTTGATGAATGTATTTCCAGAACGGACACTGCGGATTCGTGGAGCTTTGCTAACTCGGATGTCATACCAGCCACGGGCATCATGGTCTTTGGTGAGTTGCCAGTGGATTCCATCCACCATTTCCATTTCCATCTACATCTCCATCCATCTGTCGAGTGGTCAATTTCGTATCTGGTATTTGTGTTTGTCTGGACTGCAGCTTTCATGTGTCATCACAATACGTTCCTCGTTTATCAATCGATGCGCGACGCGACCATGGAGCGCTGGGAGAAGGTTACCCACATTTCGATTGGTTTCGCCTGGACTGTGGCGGCCCTGTTCGGCATCGCTGGATACTCCACCTTCCGTGCCCTGTCCCAAGGTGAGAACGAGAGGTAGAGTGGGAGTGAGGGCTCCTGGGACTGACGTAAATTGCATTTAATTGCATTGACAGGCAATTTGTAGAGTTTCCTTGTTTTCCCTTTTCCCATTTCCATTTCGTTTTCGGTTCGGTTCGGTTCAGTTCTTATCTGAGGATGCGCTATCGCGATTGTATGCCGGGGTTCTTCTCAGATCTCTCATCTCACTGTACTGTTTTTTCGCAGGCGACCTCCTGGAGAACTATTGCTGGGATGACGACCTGATGAACTTCTCGCGTGTTCTCTTCTCCATTTCCATACTGCTGACTTTTCCCATCGAATGCTTCGTTTCTCGAGAGGTTAGCCCACTCATCCTCCTGTTTATTTGCACAGTCCACTTGAGAACATTTCTGCTACATTTATTTTCCGCTCTGCTCTGGCATTACTTTCCGTTTCTGTCGGCCAGATTGTACGCGCATTAGTCCATCGGTTCGTGCTGAAGGAACCCATCAGTGAGTTTACCCAGGACAAGGACCCCAACTTGGAGAAGGGAGCCATCATCGATGAGTACTCGAAAGCCATTACCATGGCCATCGTCTTCAGCGCCTTCATCATATCGCCCATGACCGACTGTCTCGGCTCGGTGCTGGAACTCAACGTGAGTATGCTTTTTCGAATGGACCCTTTCCATCCTTGAACCCCAAAACAGTGAGCCCCTGACCAGTAGCCGTCAAGTACGTATTTATACTTCTTAGGGGGCCGAATCTATAGCCAACAGTGCTAAATGCTCTTCGGATATTTTCCAAACAAACCACATGAAGAGATGATAAAATCCCCCCGCATACAATATTTATATACGTCAGGCAACAGTGAAGTTCTCCTACTCTTTTAAATCCACAAGTGAAGTTCTCCATTGAGAGCTGAGAAATGTTTATTAACTTTAGCAAACCTTTCCAAGAGATCCCATGGTCCCATACACAATTTTAGGCCCTTTTAGTTTTGTACTTTTATGTAAATTTATGTCGGCACTCACACGCACGAATTTTTAGGGTCTCCTGGCAGCCATACCCCTGGCTTATATACTTCCCGGCCTGGCCTACATCCGGATGGAACCGCACGCCCTCTTCAGCCGCGAGAAGCTGCCCGCCCTGGGCCTGGTGGTGTTCGGTGCCCTGGTGACCATCCTGGGAGCTGCGGTGCTGCTGCCCGGCCTAATGGGCGATGATTGTCGGTCGGATATTGTGCTGGGCTACTGCCGGCAGGAGTTCCAGAATGCCACCGCCGATGTGGCCTCCTCAAAAACGGTGGATTAGTCCGGGCAATAGGAAGGGTAATGGGAACGGAATCGAAGCCAAAACGCATTACTTCTGGCCATTAGTAGTTGCAAATCGGCGGGCTGGGATCATTGTTGTGTTCGTATTTAGGTTTGGAGCTCTTGATTTTACTCTCGGTTTTACAGCTGCACCTTCGCAAAGAAAGAAACTTGTACCTGAGCCTCAGATACTCAAAAGCACGAGTATCTGTGGAAGTAAGTAGTAGGCAAAGTACTGTATGGTACAGTGGGAAATGGGAAGTGATACGAGTGAATCTCAGTACAAAGGCAAGGAATTTTCTCTCTCCCTGATCGAGTAACCACGGTCTGGTTATAATGCACCCGAAAATCAAAAACCCATTCGTTTGTACATTTCGTTGGATCCCACTTGATGTTGATGTTGTTCAGCCCCAGAATATTGATGTAGTGAAAGTTCCTCGATGTATTGTATCCCATAAAAAGCAAGAATTCCAAAACCAAATCAAACGAAACTAGAACTAGATGTTATCCGTAGCTTTAGCGTATTCTGAAACTATTTGGGCACCAATATACACCTGCAATCCATTCCATTGAGAAATACGAGTATGAATCCAAAGTTGAGAATCAAATCAAAATCAAACAAAGTATTATTAAAACATAAATTTGTAACTATGTATATGTATAGTATGTATGTTATCGGATCATATTGCAACGTTTTATATATGTATATGTATGTACTATATATGTCTACAGACATACAGACAGAGAATCGCTTTGGCTCCCAGACACGAAGAAGCTTTATCCAAACATACAATCCTTTCCATATACAAATCTCCTACGCATCGATCGGACAACAGTTTTGAGTTGTTAACAGCACTGAATTCTATTTTGAATTAACTTACACTTATACATATACACATATACTCAGACACTCAGAGATTTATATATACACATAGATAGGTATATTTTTGTACAACTCTTGGTTTATATTGCACGATATTATGTACATAACAACAACTACTGCATTTTTGGAAGTGATTCAAGTTTTTACATTTGGTCAAACCAACAACACACAACGCTTTCCATCACAATCACTCACTTCTTACCTCTGCTCTGGCTAAGAGAACCAACCAACTGAAGACACTGCAGACCCAAACCCACGATCGACTCTACTCTAAGAGCTTAGACACAACATATCATGGCCAAGGAACACAGGACACAACCAAGGGCTTTTCTAAGATACTATTTACAAGATCTACAATAACCAACTGAAACTATCGCTTATACACAAGGAAAACGGAAAACGGAAAACGGAAAACAGAAACAAATTTCTCTTGTATATACACTCTATTCTATACAACTGCTTTTTCGTATGATATCTCTCATATATATGTATTCCATTCGCCAAACAAATCTCGTTGTTTCTTTATATCAAATATAGCTACATGGTGTGGGGATGATAACTCTTTAAATTAGGGAATACAACACACGATGTTGAATCGAATAGAACCAAAATGGGAATCGAATAAACGTATTATGATTATAATTGTATTATGCATGTACTTAGTACGTATCGTATACCAAATTATACCTACTATGCATCTACTATATAGACAATTGTTTAGAATCGAATTATCTGGGACGATGGATCATAGTATTTGTTGCGAATATATAGGAGTTATACTAATTTATATACGAGTGCATACACCAAAGATAACCAAAGCAAACCAACTCGGATCAAATTTCATTCAAATAATATGTTTAGATAAGCATATGAAATTCAACAGCAAGATATATGTACTTACAATAATAAAGAATGTATTTTAGAAATATGCTAAAAAAACAAAAACAAATCAAGAAAAACTGCGGTTTTCCTGCACAAACATTTCTCCGTCTTATCATCCCCGAAGATAGACCGCGCGTTCGTTCCCAGAGGTTTCCGAATTGTGGTCTCTGCTGATAGCAGGAGGCGGTTTGGGGGGTATAAAAGGCTAGACAGTCCATTGGAGAGTCACAGTTGTGAAGTCTCATAGCTTCCAGTGACACCGCTCTGCCAAGCAAGTCTATCTCGTGATCCTCCTCCCGGTACCAGGTACACCTCCAATCATCCGACATGGCTGACAAAAAGAATCTTCTGCTGCTCTTCGAGCATCCCACCGAGCCCGTGTTCATGGACAAGGGCAAAACGGTGACCGTCTTCGATGTGCCGGACTCCTTCCTCACCGACCGCTACCGTCCCATCAGCAACGAGGTGCAGAGCCGTGTCGGCGAGAAGGTGGAGCAGCGGGTACCGGTGCGTGAGATCTCCATACCGGATTTACGTATCCCCATGTCTCTGGGCCGTGACGAGCAGTTCTCCCTGTTCCTGCCCAAGCACCGTCGCATTGCCGGCCGCCTGATCGACATCTTCATGAACATGCGCTCCGTGGACGACCTGCAGAGCGTGGCCGTCTACGCCAGAGATCGGGTCAACCCGGTTCTTTTCAACTATGCCCTGTCAGTGGCCCTGCTCCATCGTCCGGACACCCAGGGTCTGGATCTGCCCTCCTTCTCGCAAACCTTCCCCGACCGCTTCATTGATTCCCAGGTTATGCGCCAGCTCCGGGAGGAGTCGTTTGTGGTGCAATCCGGCTCGCGGATGCCCATCACCATTCCCCGCGACTACACGGCCTCTGATTTGGATCCCGAGCACCGTCTCTGGTACTTCCGCGAGGATCTGGGCGTCAACCTCCACCACTGGCACTGGCATTTAGTCTACCCCTTCGAGGCCACCGACCGCAGCATCGTCGCCAAGGATCGTCGTGGCGAGCTCTTCTACTACATGCACGAACAGGTCATCGCCCGCTACAACATGGAGCGTTTCAGCAACAACTTGTCCCGCGTCCAGCCGTTCAACAATTTGCGCGAACCCATTGCCGAAGGGTACTTCCCCAAGATGGACTCCTTGGTGGCTAGTCGAGCCTGGCCGCCGCGCTTCGAGAACACCAGCCTCAGCGACCTGAACCGCGAGGCTGATCAGTTGAATGTGGAGATCGGGGACCTGGAGCGCTGGCGCGATCGCATCTACGAGGCAATCCACCAAGGATTCGTCATGGATGTGAGTGAAATCTGCCCCTTCTGTTACCCAGAAGTATTAATTCAAATTTGTCTCTTAGGAGCGTGGCACACGCATTCCACTGGACGAGGCCAAGGGCATCGATCATTTGGGTAACATGATTGAATCCTCGATTCTGTCGCCGAATCGCGTTTTGGTAAGAATCATCTCTTCCCCTCCCTTTCTGAGAGACTAAAATATAGTACTGATGCTCCTTCCATCCATGCTGCACTTTTCAGTATGGAGATTTGCACAACAATGGTCACACATTCATCTCGTACTCCCACGATCCGAGCAACAAGCACTTGGAATCCTTCGGCGTGATGGGCGATGTCTCCACGGCAATGCGTGATCCAGTCTTCTACAAGTGGCATTCGTACATCGATCGCATTTTCCAGGAGCACAAGTCTCGCCTGCCCGCCTACACCGATACCCAGCTCAACTACACGGGCATCTCGATCACGGGCATTCAGGTGGCCACCAATGGGGGACAGGCCAATGCCCTTAGCACCTTCTGGCAGCAGTCGGATGTGGATCTGTCCCGCGGCTTCGACTTCTTGCCCCGCGGCAATGTCTTCGCTCGTTTCAGCCATCTGCAGCATCTGCCCTTCACCTATACCATCAGCGTGAACAACGACGGAGGAGCCCAGCGCTTTGGCTATTGCCGCATCTTCATTGCCCCGAAGAACGACGAGCGTGGCCAGCCCATGCTGCTGCGGGAGCAGCGCCTGATGATGGTCGAGCTGGACAAGTTTGTGGTGTCGTTGAATCCCGGACCCAACACCATTCGCCGCCGCTCCACAGAGTCCAGTGTGACGATTCCTTTCGAGCGAACCTTCCGCAACCTGGACGCCAATCGGCCCACTGCCGGCTCGCCCGAGGAGCTGGAGTTCAACTTCTGCGGCTGCGGCTGGCCCAACCACATGCTCATCCCCAAGGGCCTGCCCGAGGGTCTTCGCTGCGATCTATTCGTCATGATCTCCAACTACGAGAACGACAGGGTGAGTCAATACTTTACCCATCCCTGATGATCGTTAATCTGACCGCTCCTTGGGCTCTGCTATAGGTTGACCAGCAGCTGGTAGGTCGCTGCAGTGATGCCGCCTCCTACTGTGGCGTCCGCGATCGCCTGTATCCAGATCGCCAGGCCATGGGCTATCCATTCGATCGACTGCCCCGCACTGGAGCTGATCGTCTTGTCAACTTCCTAACTCCCAACATGAGCATCGTGGACGTGAACATACGTCACGAGAACCGCACGGTCACGCGCCAGACCCGCTGAATGAGCCGCTCCTGCCCTGCACTGCACTGATCCACATCCACCCTGACGACGGCCTTGCACATCACTAGATATACTCGTACTCTTATTACTTTTAGCAATCTATTGCATCTTTATTGAGCTACTAGCCCCAGAATAAACAAGACATCATGGCATTCCACAAAGCTACTTTTGTTCTCAATTACGATTATTGCGGTGGCCTCTGGTGGTTGCGCTTATCAGCCTCAGCCTCTGCTTCAGTTTCAGAAAAGCTTTAAATGTTTGCCCCATGCGAATGGGCGGCTCAGTTCTGTTCCAGCGGATCCGGCGTCAAGTGCGAAAGTGAAACTGATTCCACCTCCGGAGATGATTCTCCAGTGTCTATCCCTGCTGCTGATAGCAGCCATAGGCGTAAGTGAGCCACCAAACATCTCACAAAGTGCCTAATCTGTGATTCCCAATCCACCATCAAACTCTCCGCACCATTTCAGCACTCATCCGCTGCTGCCAACTATGACCTCGAGGCCAAAACGTTTATTGATCAGTCGAGTGCGCGCTACTACAAGTTTTACGATGAAATAGCCGCTGAGACGTACTCGGCCAACAATGAGGACGACTTCGAGGCCCTATTCAGCAAGCTGACAAATGTGAAGAGGATTGCCGACGAGCTGGTCAGCATTTCGCGCCAGGCCAGCGGCTTCGACCTGAGCAGAGTCCAAAGCGTAGAGTCGAAGCATGCTCTCCAGGAATTGCGCAGCGTTGGCGATCTATTTGTGCTCGGTGACGACTACTTTTCGTCGGTGCAGATGAACCTGGTGGCCCTGCAGACCCTCTCAACGGACAAGGACATTGAGCCGTATCTGGGCGGGGCCAAAATGCCCGATGAGGACGACAGCCCCATTGCCTACTACCCGGACATACAGAAGATCGTGCAGCAGAGCAAGGATTCCGACGAATTAAAGTACTATTGGGAGACGTGGCGCGAGAAGAACCAGCTCTGGGCCTCGCTAAACTTCTACACCATCGTGCAGTCGTATCAGAAGGCGGCCAGGATTCTGGAGGTGCCTGTACACAAGCTCTGGTACCGCTTCGACAGCCACGAAATGCTGCAGCAGATGGAGCAGGCGATGGTGGAGCTGAAGCCCTTTTACCAGCAGCTACATTCCTTTGTCCGCCAGGAGCTGTTTAAGAAGTACGGATCGGATGTAATCGATCCCAATGGACCCATACCCGACCATCTATTTCAGCAGGTACTTGAGCAGGCCTGGGGTGCGGACAGTGTGCTGGAGGACTACTTTCCGCGCTCGGAGCTGCCACAGTACGATGACTTTGTGAAGCATCTGAGTGCCAAGGCGCTGATCAATGAGTCCGAGAGCTTCTATACATCGCTGGGCTTTGAACCACTCTCCGCCGACTTTCACAAGAATCAGATCAAAGAGCCGAACGAAGACAAGCCGGACGACGACTGTCGGCCCTCCATCTTCGACCTGACGCCGCACGTATATCTCATGTACTGCGAGAAAGTCAGCTTTAGGAAACTGATGCAATACCACAGCCACATGGCCCGCGTTTACTACGCTAACCAGAAGAGCCAGCTTCCCTCGTACTATTTCAAGGCCTTCAATTTGGAGTTCCCTGTGGGTGAAGCGGTCGTCCTTTCTGCCTCGTCGCCCGCTCATCTGACCGGACGCGGACTGGCAAAGGGTGTGCAGTTCACCGAAAAGGCTCTGATGAATCGACTTTTCCGAATGGTGAGTCGCACAGTTTCAGTTACTTGATTTTTCCACTAATCAAAGAATCCTCCTGATTAGAGCATCCACACGGTTCTCAACATTCCCCTGTACTATGTGCACACCAAGGTGATGCATGATCTGCTGAACGACACCGTGGACATGGACACCGTCAACAGGCACTACTGGCGACTGCTGGAACTGCATGCGGGCATTGAGCCACCATCGGACCGCACGGAGGGAGCAATCGACTTCCCCTACAAGTTCTATGTGAACATCGATCAAAATTTCCAGACTCAGTGAGTGGCGTTCCATTCTAGTCGATAATATTCTTAGAAAGTTACTGAATTCTTTGCTTCGGTTGCAGGAAATTCATCTCCGAGATACTGGGCTATCAGTTCTATCGCGCCTTCTGCCAGAAGAGCCATCACAGGGGACAGCTCCACAATTGCGATTTCTATGGCAACAATGCAGTGGGAAATGATTTAAGGCATGGTCTTCTTTATTTTTATAATCAAACCGTAAATTTATCCAGATTTCTTTTTCCAGATCAATGATGTCTTTGGGCTCTACAAGGCCCTGGAAGGAAGTTGTGGGCAAAATATTACCCAATAACGCCAGCCTCAGCAGCCTAGCACTTCTGGAGTTCTATCAGCCAGTTTTTGATTGGCTAAAGAATCATAACCGGCAGGCAAATGCTAAAATTGGTTGGACCTCCACCAAGAAAAGTAAGTCAAATGGTTTTTGTTTACGTATCTACCACATTGATGTGCTTTTTATTTTCAGAAATTGTTTGAAATGCTTCATTCTGTTGCCCTCTTTGATTGAAATAATAATTTAATCCAAAATATTAACGATTAAAATAAATTTAAATTTGAATTCAAATTAAAACGAACGTTTTGCAGTACTGGAAACTGTCAAGGCGCCAGAAATTCTGGAACTAGTTCGCAAAGTTTTTTATCTCGCTTGCACTCACATTATTACGCAGGCAGTTGTATAAGAGGAGAAAACGTGTGTGAGAGTGAAACAAATATTGCAGTGTTAAGGCGCGTAAAATTCACGATTCAAATGTTTAGCGCGCACTATTTTTTTTTTAAATATGGTCGTTGAATGTTATTTCTTTTGCAAATTGCATGTATTGCTTAAGAACAATTTGCATAGAATTGGTAAAAAGTTAGTTTTACCTAAAGTTGCACAGAGATTGGAAGAATTTCCCAATGTACTGCCAGTCAGCCGTATAATCTGTTCCGGCTGTTGGCCGTTTTATGGCTACCCCGACCACAAATATCCGCTGGCGGGGCGGAGGTGGTGCCGTTCCAACCTCCAGACCAAGAGCCCTCGAAAAGCTGCTTTGCTTGAGTTGAAGTCTCGCAATCCGAAGCAATCCGAGAGCTAAGCCGTTCCCCCGCTGTGCGTTCGCCGCTTGATTGCGTCCACATCCACATCCGAGCCACTCTTGCAGCGATTGTCGCTGGGCAAGCACACTTTCTCACCGCTAGTAAGGAGATTTCCGCTGTCAGGGCTTAGGGTTAGGGTATGGCTGCATCGACTAGGCTGGATATCTGCCATACCGGACTTGGAGCTGGCGCTGTAGCTAGAGAGGCCTGCGCTTCGCTTCAGTTGCCGCGCGACAAGTCGTCGACAATGCACGGCTGGCGAAAGGTCAGCGATTCTGGGCCCAAGTCTCAGTGTCCGACTTCATGCGGTCATTAGCCACGACAAAGTCCAAGCCCATCAAATTGTGGAGCAATCGTGGAGAAGCCGTAGTCGCTGCAAGGTCGGCGGAGCCCTGCCTCCCACAGTCCCCGCCCCTGATAGCCGCCTGATAGCGGGCGTTCCTCGTTTAGCTGGACGGTTGCCTTTTCCCACAAATGGATTTCCTTTTTGTTTGTGGGCGTCTGCGGGTGTGACAACTGAATGCATTGCGTGCCGCCCCTGCCTGCTGCTTGCTAATTGCGCCAAATGGCGGTGGCCGCGCGTACTCCTAGCGGAATGAATGGCCGTGAAATTGAATCATTTCCAGTTGCAGCTACAGCCATAGCCACTGCACACGGCTCGTGTGTGAGTCCAACTTTGACATGGCACGGCTGCCAGTTTCGAAACGGAGTTGAGTGAAAGGCACCCACGCCATCATCCAGGTATTTCTCTTTGATTTACTCACTGCTTTTATGCAAGCAATAAAGCTGAAATGAGGAACACCGAGACAGCGTGTACCCTGACAGGCAAGGGGAATTGATCCTCCAAAGAGGTTCATGGCCGAGCATATTAGCTATAAATCACCCAGTCCAAAGATTAACTGATTAAGCCTGATTCATTAAATCTTCCCTGATAGTTATGTACAATTCTAATCATCTATAGTATCCACAATACCCTCACCAAGAGTATAAAGACTTAAGTGCCCAATTTATGCATAGATACATACATATATACAGAGGTATGGGTACGTGTGTGTGGCTGTGGCTGTGGCTGGAGAAAAGAGCAGAAACGGAAACCGCAAAGGGAAAACAAGTCAAATTAAATTTGCATGCCGACGTCAGACAATTTGGTGAACTTTTTTAAATTGCCCATCAGTGAATGCATTCACATCAACATTAACATTAAACATTAACCCAAACAAGATATCCATATAGTGTTTTTGCATGTGTACGTGCTGGTAAGTGTTACATGCGAATTTAGTTTACATATTCATCAGGCACATTCAGCGGAGCCAAATATTTTAACATTGATCTTGTCCACAGAAGCACAGAAGCGAACAGCGAACGAGCGAGCAAATATAAACGGAATTCAACTTAAGCTGGAGTCCAAGTGGAGACCCAAGAGTGGCACAAAAAGGCGGCATCGCATGTGAATAGTTTTTAGCATATGTAACCACGTAGAGAATGGACTAAGCTCCCAAAATGGTTTCGTTACGTGTTTCTATTGTATTGTTATGTGAAGATCTTCAAAAGACTGAAGACCATTAGCTTATAAGGAGGATCTATCGGAATGGCATAATTCCTTTATTGATGGTAAACAGTTTGCTTAAATTAAGATGCTTAGGAAAGGGCTTCAGGCGATAGTCCTTAGGGTGCAAAAACTGTTATGACCCACCATGGAGTGCCTGTGCCTAGTCGTCGTATATATTCCCCCTATCAAGTCAAATGAGATTTGCGTTCGCTTTTACAGCTGCACATAGTACGGACTGTAGTATAGTATCCCCCCATCTGTGTGTAAAATTGAGTTCGACCAGCTATTCCGTCCTGTACACAGCTGTACTGTACAGTAATTACACCACACTTCAGGCCCAACTTTCATTACTGTGTGTGTGTGTGTGTATGCAGATGCAGGAAGATGGAGCCGGAGACGAAACTGCAGATCATCATCAGCGTCACGCGTTCGCGCAAAAATTATGATTATTTGACGAAATCTCATGCTGTGCTTTCTGCCAGCTGCCGCAGCGAGGCGCCCCAAAAAACCACAAGAGGAAAACAACCAGAAGAGGAGGCAATAACCACGGCGGACACCTCAGCACGTCTTGGCCCGGCATTCGCGCAGCCAACGCCAACGTCCAAACCAGCCACAGCCACAGCCAGAGCCAGAGCCAGAGCCAGAGCTGACCCCAAGCAATTAAGAAATTATGTATATTATGACGCGCGCTGTGATGATGGCAGCGCGGCAGTCGAATAAAAAACAATCAAATGTTAAAGCAACAAATCCGAATGCCTGATGTCTGATATCTGAGGACGCCGATGCTGGAGCCGATGCTCGAAATAAGCATTATGTATACGCACTGCTGGACCTCGGAACCTGCAGGCAGTTTTGTTGCTTTGCTATTTTCCCCCCATCTTATTGGTTTTCTCATTTGATTACCCTTTCTTTACAATAATATAGCATGGCCATAATTATCATTTGTTGCATTTCATTTCTTTCAGAGACAGATACAACCAATACAGATCTTGTTGAGGTTGGGGATCTTGAATCATTTTCCGCCTGCCACCTCCATTATGCTCAGAATACTTTTCTCATGGAAATGAGAGGGTTTAAAGCTCTTCTGTGGCCGCTTCCTGGCTTTCAAAAACAAAAGACTGAAGACACGAACATGGGGTCGAGCCGTCCGCCAGGTCTTATGTAAGCGCGTGCTCACCTTAAATTAAAGTCCACAATCAGGCGGCGACGACAAGGGGTCAGAGGAGATAGAGAGAGAGAGAGAGAGGTTGCTCAGCCCGCTGTGTAGGTGGAGAAATTATGTTGACATCATCGCCAAAAAATGGCCAAAGAAGCGAGCGATGCCGATTCCGATGCCGATGCCGATGGCGAAGCCCACAAGCTGGGCGCCTCTTGAAAAACAGAAAGAAAAAAATTAATTTTACTTTCATTTTCGTTGCGGCGAACGCTTATTTCTTTCAATTTTAATGAATATTTTTTGCTGGGTACCACAAAAAACTCCAGCAGCAACCAGCAGAAAAACCATCATATCCGCAACTATTTTGGGGGGATCCGTACACCTTTTGGCTTGTGCCACTTCAACGAGATGATTGCACTTTGATTGTCCAAGACAGATCGGTTCCGTTTGGCCTTTAGCTCGGGTTGGATTCACTTTTGAATTGGTTTGTCAGGAAGCCTCTCTTCGGTAGTCGGTCTTCTCCCAAGTGCCACTGGGGTCTGCCGTTAAGCTGGGGCATTATCAAACTAACTGAAAGCCCAACTAACTAACTAACTGATCGATCGACTGACAGACTGATCGATTAAATGAAGTAAACGGCTGCTGGCTAGCTGCTGCAATGAGGAAGCGTCTGTCTATGAATATCCATCCCGTCGAATCGAATGAATCGAATTAGTCACCAGCCAAGCCATCCAGCAACGAAAGGTAAAAGCCTTTGCCGTTTTCAAATTGTATTTTAATAGGCCAAATGTCAATTTCCTGGCCCGATGCCAAAAACGGTTAAACCACGCCAGGCGATTGTGAAAATCGAGCCAATTTTATTGCCAATTTCAGCTGCGACTTATGAAATGGCTTGCACTGTCAACGCGCCGGCCAATTTTCTAGGTCACAATGCATACGAGTAAACGTATCTTACGAAATTGAAACCTGGGCGCCCCATTTCCTTGTGGAGACCGCGACCGTTCCCTCCCACGCACTAACGTCTTTCCACAGCGCTGTACTGTACAAGTTTGGGCATACGAAGAGCATCCCCATCTCCCGACAGACAATTACATTTTACTCAACATAATTTCTGGCGTTTAAGTTTATGGGCTTTTTAGCCTGCCCAACGAGCGCAGACGACAGAGATATGTGTGCCCCCAGGGAAGATGACAACCGCCTCGTATACTCGTACATATTTCTCGTCATATTTCAAATGGAAAATGCTGGCTTAAGTCGCCATAAAGCAGCTGCACACAAAACACCCTCCTCGGTTACGCATGCGTCCCATCAAAGTCTCTGTTGTATTGTATAAGGCCCCACACTCTTCTTCCCCTTATATGACACAAAAAAAGTGTCGCAGTCAGACGGCTATTCGTAAAGCTACCAGCACGAAGAAGAAACCTCTGCGGAGACAATTGTGTAATTAGCGAAAAGAAATACAGAAAAAGAGGAGGAGGAAATAAGAAAGAGTCAGAGGCGAGGCGGAGATGCAAAACAAAAAGATCTAAATGGCTATTCATAACCCCATCCACATTCCACATTTCCAGCTGCACGGGCCGGTTCAATTGTCTGGAAATGCTATTTGGTAATCCCGATCCGACTAAGACTCAACGGAATGCGGTCTCTTCTTTAGCTCTTCATCTGCTCCCGCTGCTTCTGTTCAAAGTTATTCAATTTATGACACTTTGAATATAAAATCCCTTTGAATTTTATACCCAGTACTCAAAGTCCATAGGGGTATATCAGAATTGTGGTAAAAGTGAATGTGTCTAACATCCAGAAGGAAACGTTGCCGACCCCTTAAAGTATATGTATATATTCCTGATCAGCATCATTAGAAGAGTCAAAATAGCCGTGTGTCCGTCCGTCCCGATGAGGGCATAGATCACAGAGACTACAAGAGCTAGAGCAACAAATGACGACATCCAGACTCCTGTAAAATTACACTGGGACCCCCTTCCGGCCGGTTATTAGATCACAGATCCTTGATTTCCCCCTCGTTTGATTTGATTATGGCTGGATAATATTGTTCCCCATCAAACAAGATCCATATTCAGCGCCTGGATTGACTGACTTTTAGTAGAACAACGTATTAGAGGTACTTCATTTTATATATTATAAAATAAGCATAAGAGTATTCCAGAAACGTTGGCTTTTTTTATACGGCCGCACACTAATTGCCGCGAAGTTCGCAATCAAGTTTGGCTCGTGGCACAGACCCTATCACCATTGAGTGACTGACTGCGCGGCCCGGCATTACGAAGTGATTGACAGATCTGATCTCTGGCTTTTGGCACATCGCCACACAGGAATGGAGTGGAAAGTTTTTAATGTCCTAGCCACGCGTCGTTCCCCGACTCGCCTTCACCCCCCCCTGGACAGCAGCATTGACACCACCACAACGCTTCTTAAAGAAATTCTGATATTTATTATTTCTTATACAAACCGAAGATTGCTAATTGCCTGGCTAAATGTTGGCAATTTGTCAAGCGTTGCTAATCGAATTAGAAGGTGTTATTGATAATCGTTAAAAGCGATCGATCGTGCACAAACAAAAGATCAGAGCAGATTAGATCAGAGGGAGCACAAGCTTTGGACTTTGGGCGATGCTCAATGGGATCATGGGCTCGGGCTGGTTCTTACCGACACCCACAGCAAGCGACAGAGAGATCTTCACGGCAAGAGTGGACAGTTGCCAGTGCAACTGCCGATGACGTAGTCAGGGACTGGGACTGGGACTGGGACTGCTGCTGCATCCATTATATCACCTTCAGGTGAGTGAAAGTGATGATGGCATGGCACTCGCAAGGCCTCAATGCTAATACCCGTTTGCGAATCTTTTCCTTCATGTGGCACACAGGGTGTGTGCTGCCTCGCGGCTGCTTGGGTCCGGTGTTTGGGGCAAATGGGTGGATGTATGCTAATGTTGCATTTTTTGCGCCGCCTGCAAATATTTTTTTTTCAATTATCGATTTTCGATTTTTGTTTGCCTTTTACTTTGAGGTGTGCGAGGCGGGGAAAAACGTTGCGACTTCCTCATTGCAGTTGTCTGTGTTGCAACAATCTCCGTGCAAGTGTGTGTGGAGATGGGGGCAAGCGTTTTTGCGCTGCTTCAATTGCCGTTGATTTGCATGGCGGCGCCGAGAGAAATCGCAAATGGCCCACGAATTCCTAGTGCCAAATCAAATGTCTATCTCTGGAGACTAATGAATATTCATAATTATGGACAGGTCAGAGCAGAAAGCCGAAAGGCTACCCCTTGGAAATTGTGCCAAGCGAAATTCAGAGCAATTGCTACTCGACTTCGCGGTCTCTAACGGTGGCAGGCCGGAGTGTATGCAAATATTTGCTTTGGCCGCAGAAAAGTAAAGCTACAGAAAACACTTTCCATCTGTCCCAAGTATCCGCCAGCAGCAGCAGCTGGACTGGAGCTGAAGTTGATTTGGATGTGGAAGCTGGGGCAACATCGGCATCAGCACCCGCACCATTGCCAATGCCATACCCCCCGGCCATATCATCATAGCAAGGGGCAGCTGTGGCCGTACCAGCCACAGATACAGATAAAGAAATGTGCCGCTGTCGATGCCGCTGCCGCTGCTCCTTTCACTTTCGACTCGCCTTCAACGGGTGTTCGAATCCAGAGCAAAATGGACTTTTAGCTCTGCTAAATAGCAAGGGGCAGCCACAAAAACAGCAGCCCCACCACCACTAAAAAAAAAAATAGAAGAAATCCACGAAAAAAGTCGTTGCCGGATGAATCATCTGAAAGCGGCGGCGGATGCGATGCCGATGCTGATGGCGATGGTAACCGCTTCGCTGCGTGATTTTCCAAAGGCCAGTCCACGTCCACAAGCATGGGTGACACTCGCACACTCTCACGCATCGCATAGACATCGCATCAGATGTTGTGGGGATAAACCCCGTGCCACCCTGTTTTAAGATCAAGGCTCCCCTGACCAGCCTTGACGTTGAATTTTTAAGTATTCGTACGAGTGATCACGGTGCGAGCTTGAACGCTCGAGTGGATTGGATCTCAAAGCGATAACGGATGAAATGAACCATTGTGGGGGATGTGCGAAGATCATCAGTTGTTGAACTCCCCCGAAAGAGTGTTGGCCGCTTTGGAAGGTCTGGGAACTATTGTACTTGGGAGTGAACATTTAACTCGATTTTCCTTCCTCTACTGCTATACATTCTGTGAACAAAATGCAATCCAATTGGTGGTTTCTTCAACAGTTTCATTTGATAGATTATAGATTATTATTATGTATTTTCATTTATTTTTTGGATTGCATTTCCAGTTCTTCCAAAGACAGCAAACCTCACCTCGTCCGACGCTGGCCATGGGCTTTTTGCTCTGCTCTGCCTGGACACGGCGCACGCTTCCACACATACACATTTCAATCAAATCAAATGCAATTTGCTGTCAAAGCCGAGTCACAGCATGTCACAGTCTGTCAAAAGGCATTAAATGTTGCGACGCTTTTGTTATTTGTGGGTTCTTTTTTCTGTATTTTGTGGCCGAAGGCTTTGGACAAATATGAACTGAAAATGTTTAATTGGCGGCTGTCATGTTTGGGCAGCTATAAAACTGAAATAAAACGATGGCCGGACTCTGACTCGGCCGCCTGGTACTTACTATTGACCATGGCGTCCAATGATGCTTTACGACTTCATATCATAATTACAGCTTACGAAATGGGTGCCGGGGGAGTTGATAGAGGGGGGGGGGATAAAATATGGTGGGGAAGAGGGTGAAGTCGACGTCTGCCGGCATTAAGCAATAATTTGTATTATTTGTACAATGCGGTGGCTGTTACAGTACGAGTACTCTTCTCTCTCTCTCTCTGCGTCCATCTCTTGTATATCTTTTACGCTTGTCTGTGCATTTATTGTTGCCTAATCGGTGATGGGAGACGAAGATGGAGAGCCGAAGCCGAAGCCGAAGCGACAGCTGTTTCCAAGCTCTCCTTTGCTTTGATATTTCGTGCAAACGCACTCCACACTCCACAGCACAGCGCAGCCGAAAAAAGCGCAGAAGAGTAGGAAGACAACAGCAACAGCAACAGCAACAACACCGAAAGAAACGGCGACTGCGCAGCAGCTGGCAAAGCTCAGTAAGCCAAGCTTACTGGCGCTCGGCGCCTGCGCTTCAGTTCAGACTTCTTTGAGACTCCGCTCAAGAAGGTAGTGTTCAGCTCTAGCTCAGGTTGGGCTCGCGTACGTAATTACCGCTACTCACGGGCCTCGATCGTTGGCTGTAAGTGCATGAGTGTCTGTGTGTGTGTTAGTTGAGATAAGATAAGACTCAGGACTTGGGGCGTCAATCAAACTGCAAATTAAGGCTGCGCTGCCCCAAATGATAGGTGATATTAGGATTAAAAGAGTTGGAGAGCGCAATAACTTTAGTGTTGGTGCCAGTGTGAGTGCTACGGATTGGATATAGCTTGCATTCGCCTGCAACTTCAAACAGCAACTCCCTCTCTCCAGTCTCCACTCTCCTTCGATCTACGCCTAACAGTGAAAGTGATTTGATTTTGCAATTGGAGTCCGAGTCCGAGTCGGAGCTGCAGTTGCTGCCAGCAAGCGACTTTGAACAATATTTCTGCTTGTTTGCTGATCCGATCAGCCAGCAGCGAAAAGCGTTTTTGCTTTTATTATTATTATTTTTCGCCAGGCAACGCAAAGGCAAAACCAAAACAAATCCAACGAAACAAAACGCAGCAAAACAATAAACAAAAGTGCAAAGAAAACAGAAAAACAGAAAAACAGCAAATAACAAACGTAAATTGCAAGCAATTTGTAATCTGGATCCTAATGCAATTTCTCTCTCTCCTTCTGCACAGTCGTTCCACTGTGGCCAAAACCAAATCCCCACAAAATACCATTAAAAAATCATCTTCAAATTGGATTAATAATCTGCAGATCAATCTATCTATACCCTTGCTTAAAGGTAAGTCAGATCAAGATAGCTAGATAGCTAGACTAATTAAATTTCATAAATTTCACATTAAATCGAATCGACACTTATGCGGCAACACTAACCGCTGGCAGGCGATTAAATCATTTGCACATTGCAACACTTGCAACACTCGCATCGCGCACGAACCTCACAAAAAGAAACTATTTACGGAGCAAAAGTAAAGCGTCATTATCTAATAAATCTTACCATATACTACTCGTATACCCACATTATTTTACACCCCATTCGGGTGCAGATACTTGCACCAGTACTTAGATGCATAAAACGCAAACACCAGCCCAGACTCGGGCTCATGGCGTGGTCGGTGGTTGGGGGGGTGTCTTGCAAAATGTGGAAAGTATTCGCAATTGAATGCTTGCCACATGCCTGGACACATAATCCGCTAGAGTCAATTTGCCAGGGCTGTCCCCTTTGTGGGGGACGCGGGATATGTGGCATGCAAATATTTCAATGATATGCGAATCCTTGCCGTTTACTGGGAAATTGCTTTTTAGTTGCAACAAGCATTTATATGGCATCTATTTAGTTTGAGTTTAAGGGAATATGCTTTAGAAATTATCATATACTTAGCACAAAGATCTCAAGTGGGCAGATTCCCACTTTGAACTTGTGACCCAATAACACAATTAAAAGTCACATTTTCAACGATATTGCAGTACAAACGGATTATTCAATCTGTTTCCAAATTAACAACGTGATAATTATTATATAAGCAGTACGAAGCAGACTTTGAATAATAAGTAGCTGCCTTAAAAAAGTTAAAAGAAAAAACCATGTCAAGTCGCCAATAAAGCAAATAAAACCGAATCAGACGAAATGCAAAAACCAAAGAAACAAACAACAAACCGGAAAACATAAATAGTCGGACAATAAAAGTGCGTGAAAGAAGGGCAAACGAAATGGGCAAAGAGACAAAAGAGAGATGAGCAGAGAGAGAGAGAGAAAGAGAAGCGACGCATTGGGGCAACTTAACCCCAATTTGGTTAACTGCAGCTTGAGCCACAAATTATTTGGCAACGTTTTTATGGCTCCGCCGAAGTCTCGTCTCGACTACACAATACATATATATATATATATACTCTATAAGATATATATCGCTGTGTGTGTAGGTATGACATGAACTTCATTATCAGCACACCCGAACGCCGAAGCCGTCCTTTTTTTTTGGTTTTTGGTTTTTTCTTTTTGTAACATCTCTTTACCCCTTGTTCGTTTTCCTGAAATGGTTTTATTTTATTTTGCTTTTTCAATTTAGGGCTGGCTTACGAGGAGTATTGCGTAAGCGGAGAAACTCGTATTGCTGGGGCTGCTCTCTGGAGCATGTGATACTTACATATACATACATTCATACTTGTAGAGACCTATAGTAGGTGCCATATATTTACCGTATATTTATTACGGTTGAGAACTTTCTTTCGGGACTGACACAAATTACTTAATTTTTAGGTGCCGCTGCTGCTGGGGCCTTAAATCCGGTTTCGTATTGGCTTGGACGGTTTTTGGAGGGGACTGCGATCTGACCCTTTTTTCATCATGTAATAAAACCCAAAATATACGATCTGTTTGTTGGAAAACAAGTTCCGCCAAATTGTGACCGTGGCCATGGATTTGTTAGCTCCGTTCGCCTTGCTTTTATTTTCTTTTTTGATGCTTTATGTAAATCTTATTTTTCTTCTTTCTTTCTTTCTTTTGTGCCCCCTTTTTGCTCTTTTTCCTGGCCCGAGCTTATGTAAGTCAATCGAAACACTCGTCATATGCAAATGATTTCTCAATTTTTGCTGCTCTTTTTCAACGTTTTTCCTCTTTTGGTTTGGATTTTGGCTCCGGCTCCGGCTTGGGCTTGGGCTTGGGTCGAATCGATTCGATGATGATTATGTATTCAGGTTGTTTTGTTTAATTATTTGGTTTTGGTTAATTGGTAGCTGTGGTGGGCGGGTCGGGGGAGGTGACCATAGTAGCTACTGGCTATACGGATCACCTAATTATCGGAGGCAATCATTGGGTTCGCCCTTTCGTTGCCTCAAGTTCGTGTCTTAAGTCGTTTGTTATTCCGATTCCAAATCCAGTTTGGGGTTTCCCCATTTCTCTCTGTAGCGACGAGCGACTAGCGATTACCGGCTAGAATCGGTTGCGCATACGCCATGTGTGTTGCGCTAATTGCATAATCATCATCATACCCATCACCATTCGCATCGATGTGATTTGCATGCCATGCTTCAAATCGCAAGCGCCTTTTGTTTTTGTTGCCATGTCCGATAGTCTGGCACTGGCACTGGCACTAGCACTTCTTAACACCCGACTGCCGCCGGGTTGAATGTTGACTTAACACATTCGTAACAATTGCGTAGCAGCCTTGTGGCTTGTATGATGAATGCTAATTAGCGCACACTCCGCGCTGCAGCAGACGTCACAGTTGCCACGTACGAGTATTGATTATGTGGTCGGGCGGGTGTGCTTGCCGCAGCCCCCTCTTACAACGGCACTTACCTTACCCAATAACACCTTGGAGCGCGGCTTTCATCGCGTTGCGTTTGCGTCGCCTCTAATACTATATTTCGTTTGTTTTCGTTTTCGGTTTTCGGTTTTTCTGGTGTTTTTTTTTTTCCCGTTCGTTAATTTTTTGGCTGGACAAAATGTGCCAATGGCAAGGCATGGCATGGCATGACACCAATTTCCATTTAATTTGGCCGCTCAGCCCCGCATTGAGCCAGGCAGCCAAGACGAGCGAAGCGCAGCTGTTTGACCTACTTGGTGGATTGTTGGTGGGGCTGCTGGACGTGGATGTGGTGGTGCTGTTTGTGGGAAAGTCAAATGGGTTTAACCTTTTGGCTTGTGCAAACAATTGGTAAATGCAATTGGTAGCAATTCAAAATAATTGAGCAAATCTATTTTAATTCAAGTTTGCCAAGAAGAGACAACCATCGAAAGTGGCAGTGGCAGTGGGAGTAGGAGTGGAGCGGAGTGGTGCTTATCTTGATTGTCTCTCTTGATTGTTTGACTCGACTGCCATGAAATAAATAAATGAAAAATTGTATGGTTAGGGTAAAAGTTGGGGAAATACCCGCCGCACACCTTTTGAAGGGGGGGAGAGAAATATTTTGTATATTGTAAAAAGGGAAACCTTCTTTGTGGCAACAAGTCTAGTAGTCTGTTATTTATCAGCTCTTTATGAATGTTTTTGATTCCTTTATCCATTTATCTATCGTTTTGCTTCTGCTTATTTTCTGCTGATAAGCTGAACAAAGAAAGCTTCTTCAAAATCTCTCTCAGAGAGTAAGAGAAGCTCATTTATCGCTGTACCCATCCCATTTTAAACATAAATTAAATTTCAGCTTCTTTCTTTTGTCATTTTTTTCTTTAATTTATTTTTCATGCCTGCATTTGGGTCTGTGTCTGGGTCTCCTCCATAATATAAGCACTTTTCCCCCGACTCAACAAAATGCATACAAATTTCCTCGACTCGCTTCATTTCAACAAACGAGAAACAACGAATTTGACAACTTTTGGCTGAGCTTTTGTGTTGCCCCGTGCTGCCGGTGCCATTGTCATTTTCTAGTTTTCCATTGTGGCGAGGGAGAGGGAGCGGGAATTGCTTTGAATTATGCGTGAACCGAAGAGAGAGAAAAGTTTCTCAGGATTTGTGACGCACAATCAACTCTGCTGATGCGAAGTCCATGTCCAATGAGGCACTCAGCATCGTATCGCCTTGCATCGCCTTGCATCGCATCTGCATACGCAACTGCAACCAGTTGAAGCTAGCTGCTGTTGCAACTGCTGCCTCTGCTGCTGCTGCTGCAGCTGCGGTTGCGCATTTAAAATGCATTTATCTCAATTACGAGCAGAAAGAGCAACAAAATCGCTTGTTTACAGCGAAATGAAAACGAAAACGAAACGAAATGAACGACGCATTGTTTTGCAGCAGAAAATAAAAACTTTCACTGCCACAAAATCCAAAAAAAAACACACAAAAAACTAAAACAAAAGTAATCATGTTGCGGGCGGGGGCTGCCTCAGCGGAGAGGACGGGTGCCGGTGCCCCGAAAAAGAGGAGAAGCAGAAACAGAAACAGAAGCAAAAGCAAAGCCCTGGAAAAGTGTTGTTAATGAAAACAAATAAACTGAAAGGCCAGGCCCAGGCCAGTCAGCAAACTGATTGTAATTTGTGCGTGGCAGAAGGGGCATTGGAAGTGTGAAAGAAGCAGCAGCCGGAGAAAGAGAGGGCACAACAGACAGAAAGAAAGAAAGAGCAGCACAAAAGATAGGCGGAAAGTGAATGCTGCAAAAGCCAAAGCAAAAGCAAAAGCGAGTTTCCGGCGTCCTTCACTCAAGGCCGTTCCGTTGCAGTGGACGCTGCACGCATGCGCAACTGTGGCAGCTGCTGTGATGCAGCTTTTCATCCAGATGGTGGTGGTAATGGAAGGGGCAGCTGTCCGCCAAATAAATATTTATGTAATCTCGAGGACGGATAAGCTCTTCCTGCGCCCGCTTTCCAACACTGACAAATATGTAAATTAAATTTCTGCAGCACGTTGCATCACTGAGGAGGGGGAGGTCTGCAGAGGAAAAAGCTGGTATTTTAGCTAGCAAAACCAGTTGAACCGCCAAAAAAATACGATATTTCATAATCAACATCCACAAAAGAAACAAAATGCCCGCAAAATGTGTTAAATGTTATGCAAAACCATCTGCTACGGCTGTCGATGCCCGGTGCCATGCCGCAGAGTCACGTCACGATTCGGTTGGCATGCAACCAGGAAGCGTACCCTACCTCCCTATCGATCTGTGCAACACGCTTGCCTCTGTCTCTGTCTCTGCCCTGGCCCCTGCCTCTGCTCTGAAGCCGCAAATCAAGTTCAAAATGTCAAGTTTGCGCCCGCACAAATCAACCGAAAAGGAAGCGTTGCAGTGCAGCAGCAGCGCAGCAGCGCAGCAGCAGCTCAGTGGTGCTTGAACTCGAAATGAAAGTGAAAATACGCCAGCAGCGACGTCCACAGCGACTGCGACTGCGAATGCGATTGCAGCTGAGAGCAGCTGAGCGAAAAAAGCTCGCAAACTCTTACTTTCAAAGCTGCGCTGGCTAGCCTCCGCAGAAGGGCAGCCACCAGCAAGAGGTCGACTATTGAATACCCTTCCCATGCGAAATAGCTTCAAGGACAACGTTGAGGAGGAAGTTTCTGTAGAGATATTTAGGCTTACATTTACACACACATTCCACACGGTGTTAGTGGTTTTTTATCTCAAACTCCCGCACCTCTAGATCTTATGCGAATATTTCCAATAAGATATTACCACTGAACTAATACGCCCTGTGTGGTGTGGTCTAGGGTATTGAAATACAAGTCGGTTGGGCTTTTATTGCACTTTTTACAATCACATTCATTCATTTCCTTCTATCGTTAAACGTAAAAAACATAGAAAACACTAAACAACAAAATAAAAAGTGAAATTAAAAAACGCTGCGAATTTCCAGCTGCTGGGTGATGGTTTTTCCAGTTTTCCCAGATGCTTTTATCCCGCCAGCCACCAGCCACCAGACAGCAGCCAGCAACCAGCAACTCGTTTACCAAAAACTCAGCTGGTAGCTGGCGATCGAGGAAATGCACGCGTGATGCAGTTGCAAGTGCAGCTTTTGTGGCTGCAACCAACTGCAAGTTAAACCGTAAATTGATGATTTAAAATTAATTTGTTGCGCGATTAATGGGAATTTAATGCGCAAAGCGGAGATTATGGCTGCCAGATGAAAGCTCATTTGGGCATTTATGAGTTTTACGACGATGATGGGCGTTCGTTTCATGCAACACACCCATGCACCCATGCACCCACTTCATCGGGGAGTAGAGTTAATTGCCAAAATATTCGAATACAATGGAAACTACAAAAAACTAAAACCCGTTCTTCTCTTTCTATCTTTCGTTTATCTGCCGCAGGCAATTAAGGAAGTAATTTTGTTACCGAAGCTCTTCGTGGATGTCTATGTGGATGTCGCCAGCCAAATAGCGCGATGCGATGCATGCAACCACACGAAACCGCTTGAAAAGTCGCTGTTAAAGCGTCAACAGCAATTGCCATAATTGCCATTGGAGCAGCACACACACACGGACACACGGACACACGGACACACTCCCAGATACAGAGGAGTCCAATAACCGCTGGACAAACATCCAACAACCAGCAATCCAACACCCAACCCGTGCCCGTGCCCGTGCCCGTGCCCATACCCGCACCCGGACCAATTCAGCCATCAAAACGAAACTTGCCACACGAGCTATCCGAGGCAGGCACATAGAAACACACACGCACACACACACACACACACACACACACACACACAAATCCGCAAGTCCCACTGAATTGTAACATAGACGGGGAGTCGAGCTTGAAAATCCCCAAAGCCAAAACAAAGTCCAAGACCGAGAGCAAGAGCAAGACCAAAAAACCAGTGGGGAGATCAATGAACGCGGCACGCAGCTGACAGCAGCAGCACCACCAACACCACCAGCAGCAGCTCAGTGAAGCATAGGAAAGGCGCCACGGACGGACACCAGGCTGGGGCGGCGTTCAAGTTCAAGCATCAACTATTCCGACGACGACGGCAAGCAGGAAGTGCCGCGGCTGCACCTTAATTGGAGGCAGTGTCATTAGCACCAAAAACAACAACAACAACAACAACAGCAACAGAAACAGCCTCAACTGAACAACAACAACCAACCAACGCTCATCCTGCTCGATGTAAGATGTTACTGACCGACAACAGCAACGAGCTCCACACAAGAAGCAACAGCCGCAGTCGCAGCCGCAGCCGCATCTGCACCTGGAGATGGAGCCTGATCCAACTGTTTGCCCTTTGCTGGTGCTGCCTCTGCTCAGTGCTCAGTGTTGAGGCGGCCACACCCACCACAGTGTCCACGGGGCAACTGCTGACGGGACATCAGCTGCTGCCCTGGCAATCACCGGCGGCGGCGGCGGCGGCGGCCACATCCTCCTCGCCCTATGCCACCGCCACGTTGGCGCCCACGGCTCGCAATCTGTACGCGCCCTTCCAGCGCTTCAGTCAGCAGGACGACATCAGCTTCAAGGATGTGCGCCAGCGCAGCGACGGCACCATTGTGCAGTCCTTTGGTTCCTATCGCACCGCCCGCCAATTGGGCGTGCCTGCGGCCGCCGCAGCCCAGCGCCGTTCCGATGCCGCCGTCGAGATCATTCCGGCGCCCTCGGTGGAGCTGCCTCAAGGCGACCTGATCACGATACCAAAGCAACTGGTGCCCACGATGCCGGAGAACGTGACGCGGCAGGGCAGGCAGCGCAACTACATGTACATCCCCCTCCAGACGGAGGCAGATCCCGATTCTGCCGGAGCCCTCCTTCAACTGCGTCCGAGCCGAAATGCCACGCTCTCCTCCCTGGGACCGCCTGCCGATGGAGTAGCCGCTGTGGCCCATCAGTTTGCAGCGGAATTGGCCACTCAGGGCAGTCCTGAGCAGCAGCCGCTGGAACTAGAGCCAGAACGAACGGAACGCAGCGATCTGGTGGCCTCTGCCAGCTCCACGGACAAGCTGGAGTACGCGGAGCCGGAGAATACCAGTCGCCGCGTGGGCTTCCAGTTTCCGAGCTACAGCCTGAAGCCCGCGAGTCCCTTCCATCCGCAGTCCTATCGCGAGGACAACCCCATCTTCGGGGAGACCAGTGGAGCGGGGTTCGAGCCGCAGCCATACAGCGAGGATGCCTCGCCCACGCCCACCCAGTACGAAGGGCACGAGACGCGCCACACGCGCCAGCTGTACTTCGACTCGGACGTATCGCCCTCAAGCTTCGAGTTCCCGGGTCTGTCGAGCAACTCCAAGCCCCACGGCCTCAAGCTCTATCGGGATGATGTGACCAAGTTTGGGGACATCAACGGACCCATCACGGCCCTCCCACAGCGTCCCCAGCGTGGCTTCTACTTTGGAGATACGGAATTCCGGACGGGACCTCCCGCACCCATCCGCCAGTTTGGACCACAGAAGAACTTCCAGGAGTACGTGGGTCCCAGCGACTATCAGGGCTCCCGCAAGAGTCGCTACTATCCGTACAAGTCGTCCCGCAGTCCCCGTGTGGTTTTCCCCTCCAACGACAATGTGGGAACCACTGGAGTCAGTGGTCCGGCGGGCAGCAGCGGACCCTCCGGCACAGGAGTGTACTTCAGCGACAACCTCGCCTTCAGGTTAGTAGCACACACACACCCACACATACAGAGTGAGCGATCGATCATGTTCTGAGCGTTACCTTCTCTGTTACATCATAGGGATCAGAACTTTGGCATCAACGAGCTGGCCGCCGTGCAGGATGTGCGCAACGATTACAGTCTGCAGGAGCTGGACAACGCCTCGGAAGCCACCAGCAGTCCGCAGTCGGCGAGCACGTTCAAGGAGAAAGGTAAGTCCAGCCCAGCCCCAACCCCACCCAGCTCCCTGCACCCAATCCAAGCGGAGCCCCAATCCCCGCGTTCAGTAGAGCATAAGTTAGAGTCGCTGCTGCTACTGCTGCTGTCACTGCTGGGAAACTGCTTGCACTAGGCCAACATGTAATCCTTCGAAACCCAGCCGAAACACCACCTCCACACCACAACTCAACACAACACAACACAACACAAGAAAAAGCAACCCATTCCGATACCGATACCGATTCCGATTCCCATCCGACAGTCGACATCACAACGGACATGGAGTGCCAGAACCGCGGCGGCACATGTGAGTTCTTTTTGGGCTGCTGGCTGTCCGGTGGCCTCATTCAGGGCACCTGCAACGGAGTGCTGCGCGGCTGTTGCCACCGCACGGCCAAGTCGGCCAATCTGCGCAGCTCGGACTATGTGGGCAACACCGTAGATCTCACAGATCTGCCGCAAAAGAACTACGGACCGGTCAACAACGAACCCAGTGAGTGTGGCAGCCTCAGCTCGAACCAATCCAAAACCAAAACCAAACCCAAACCCAAATCAACTCCCAAGCACGTGCACACTAAAACCCTCCCCACCCCACCCCACCCAAAAATCGGTTCAACGAAATAGTTGAGAAATAATTTGCATGCCACAAAAATCTAACAAATTTACGTACTCTTTATGTATAAGTACTTTGTAGTTCGTTTTGTTTTTCTCCCATCTTCATTAAGTAGTATATTATGTAGTTATGCACTCGTAATTCGTACTTGTAAGTATTTGTTTTAGTTACACTCTTGGCTAGGTTTCAGCGCCCAATTAAGCTGAGCTGCTGTACTCTCGGATGTATGCACGCCACTAAAACCGAGCCGAAGCCCCCCTCGAAGGAGGCAGAAAGAAAGGCTGGGGTTGCAATGAAAGATATAGATATAGAGTTTAATTGCCAAGCATGAGCATGTTAATTACCACAGCACGCTAATGATAATTAAGCCATATTACACATAGCTTAACGGCATTACGCTCCATGTGCAAGACACGGGTAGACCTCCCAAATGAACCCCCAGACCCCCAGTTGGACGAGACTAGAGACTAGAAAGCGGAGACAGACCAGACCCACCCGGCAGTGGCAGACCCACCCATAGCGATGCTTTCGTTGTTTTGTTGTTTTTTGCCTAATTGCTTGCTTGCTTTGTGATCGATCACTCTGTTTAATGCTTCACTAATCCCTCCATATATGTATCCTTCCGATCCGAGGGATCTGTGAGTTCAATCTCTACTAACTGAGTGCGTTTTCCGTTCCCCCTTGCCATTCCAGGTTGCGGCATCTCGCTGGCCAAGCAGACCGCCCAGCGCCGCATCGTGGGTGGAGATGATGCCGGCTTCGGCTCCTTCCCCTGGCAGGCCTACATACGCATTGGATCATCCAGGTAAGCACTGAAAGAAGGCACTAACTGCTTCATTACTGAATGGAATATGGGCTTCCTCCTTGCAGATGCGGAGGATCGCTGGTATCGCGCCGTCATGTGGTCACCGCCGGGCATTGTGTGGCTCGGGCCACTCCTCGTCAGGTGCACGTCACACTGGGCGACTACGTGATAAACTCGGCCGTGGAACCACTGCCGGCTTATACTTTCGGTGTTCGTCGGATCGATGTGCATCCGTACTTCAAGTTCACCCCGCAGGCGGATCGCTTTGACATCTCAGTGCTGACGCTGGAACGGACAGTGCACTTCATGCCACACATAGGTAAGTACCCCATTGCGCTTCCCTTCCGAAAGCCGCTCATGGTGATTATCTTCCAACTACAGCCCCCATCTGCCTGCCCGAGAAGAACGAGGACTTTCTGGGTAAATTCGGATGGGCCGCCGGCTGGGGAGCTCTGAATCCGGGCTCTCGGCTGCGTCCCAAGACGCTGCAAGCCGTCGATGTTCCGGTGATCGAGAACCGGATCTGCGAGCGCTGGCACCGGCAGAACGGCATCAATGTGGTCATCTATCAGGAGATGCTCTGCGCGGGCTACCGCAATGGAGGCAAGGACTCGTGCCAGGGCGACTCGGGTGGACCGCTGATGCACGACAAGAACGGGCGTTGGTACTTGATCGGTGAGTGTCCCTTCAAGAGACTTGCCACCTGCATCTATACTCATTTCCCTCTCCCTCTTCCAGGTGTCGTCTCGGCCGGGTACTCGTGTGCGTCCCGTGGCCAGCCAGGGATCTACCACAGCGTGAGCAAGACCGTCGACTGGGTATCCTATGTCGTTGGCCTCACGATGAACATCTGATGGATTTACTACTAATTTATTCTCATCGCTTCACATTCGCAATCGCAATCGCACCTGCCTGGTGCATGATTTTGTACATAATTCACTTCATTCTGCTCACTGAATACTGAATTCTGATCAATGCTAACTCTATTTATGAATACAAACGAATTATAACATTTAATGTAATTGAACAAATTAGCGCAGTACAATTTAGCGGATAGAAATGGACGGTATGTACTGCATACATATGTACATGTGTGAATCTGTATCTAAAAGATGCTCTTCCGTGCGACATTAGTGCAGAGCCAGCCCTAAACTAATTATAATTAATGATTAATAATTATGGATTAATTTACGTAGTCATATGCGCTGTTATGTAATTTTAATACTATTTATGAACTACTACATTTCGTGTGTAAATAAATTATACAAATGTTGAAATGAAGTCGCAATTTATTCTATTAAAGTGTCATTAGAATGTATTTGATTGTTTGTGCAGCTACTGTTTAAGGGGCACGGGCACGTAGACCTGCTGACAGGGAACTCCAGCCGCTGCTGTCCAACCATGCTCGGTATCCTTGTAGAAGACTCCGCCAAGAGTCCCATACTTCGACTGCTCTCCCATCACGCGGAATAGGGTGAAGACCTCGTGATAGATCTTGTAAAAGATCACTGGAGATACAATATGATATATTGAGCTGTGTTAAGGGATTTATCATTTCCGCGACGAGCTTACCCAGAACGAGCGTGAATACCAGGAGGCACATCAAAAAGCTGGACAGATCAATGAAGAGGCCCACGGTGGCATAGAAGACACCCACATACAGGCCAAAACCAAAGATCAAGCCATGGAATATCAACCAGGGATACATCAGACAGCTCATATCCTTAGACGAGGAGGATGAGGAAAGGTGAAGAAAACGGATTTAAATTGGACATTAGCATTTCCTCTTACCCGAGCCACGCCAATGAGCAGCAGTAGGCTGACGGCCGCGTTGATCAACGACAGTCCATATGCGCAATAGCTAAAGATGGTCAACACTGCAAGGAGCCGGAAACGGAGGCGTCAGAGGAGGAGGAGTGTCAATGGGTTCAACTCACGATTCATCAGAAACTGGTGCTCGTTGGCCGCGGCAATGCTGAGGAGCGCTTGCTTTAGCATCAGTCCAATATTCGGGTGCATGTGGAGGGTCAGCATGGAGCTGCCTAGGGTCACGGAGGATATGATCACGCCCAGCCAGCCCAGGATGATGACGTTGTACTTGAGATTCTGGCACTGCACGTACGAGATACCAGTGCCGCATGCAATACTGCCCTGGTGAGATCTATTATCATTACGCCCCATGATTATCGTCGAGAGTCGATTCTGTGGTGCGTTCCCAATTGTGTTTTGTGTTCAGTGTAGTTCTTGTTTTGTTTTGTTTCTTTTTTGCTGTAGTGTATGCTGCTTCATGTGTTTACAATAGAACAAACTACGATGAACTGAATAGAGAACAACCTTTGGCTCCACACTGACAGGGCGAGAGAGACCCGAAACAGCAAAGGCCTGCTAGGAGAACAGTTCGTATTCGTACACTCGTACAATAGGAATAGGTAGGTGGGTAGTATATGTTTTATTATGCTAATCCCGAATTAGAAAGTTACTTCATAAATGGATGGGCTGGCTCCCCCCTTTGGGGTCAGTGGTTCGCCTTTGTCTGACTCTGGAACGCACCTCCAGCCGTGTGGTGTTCCCATTCCGAGAGATGGCGAGATGCCAGCGGTTGTGGCAATTATGTCGCATAAAATAATTATAACAGACCTGGGGCACATTTCCTGCGTTGCTGGCATCAGCATTTCGTAATAATTAGTAAAGATGAAGAACACAGCACATCAGTGGCAGTGGCAGTGGCAGTAGCATCCACCAGCAGAGCCAAGACAAACCAGAACCAAGATCCAACCTGTTGCTGCAGAAGCATTCGGCGCCCAGTTCGAGTTTGGCCAGCGGCGCGTGCGGTTGTGGCGGCTCCATCTCCCATCTACAGACCATCTAGAGAACCGAGCCCCATCTCGCGGAGAAGTTTTCGGAAAATGTGTGAGTCGTGCGGGCAACATCAATGGCTGCTCGTGGTGGTAAAAGGAAAAGCACTAAGGAAACTGTGCCATCGAGCCAAGTGAATTGGCACACTTCCCATTGGGATGAGTGTTATATAAAGATCCATTAGCCAGTGCGTGCCTGTGCGGACAGGTGACCCATTTAGCGGGTGACCCCAAAACTCGTATCTCGGTCTCATATCAAGGACACACATCCACAACTCTTTCCCCGTAAAAGCAAAGCTCTCGGCCGTGAGTCATCCGCGAGACAAGCCCATACCCATACCCATACCCATAACCAGAGACGAAACCGAGTAAAAGTGGAGCAGCAGCAGTAATAAGAAATCTAAGTAGAAGAAAGAGCAGAAGACACGGCCAGAAGAGCCGCAGCTACATAAAAGTGAATAAGAAACTGTCATGCTTTCGTTGGCACCCATCCGGAGCTCATGCCAATGGAGATTTAACAGTCCACAAATTGTGTTAAGTGCCTTAACACCCACCAGTAATCTTATCTACTCCAAATAGTGAACAGTGAACAGTGACAATGAATCTGCTGGTGTGGCTCCTAGTGCTGCTCCTGCTATCCTGCCACATCGGCCACGGCCAGGCCAGTGAGTAAGTGCAAGCGAACCCCAAACTGCCTATTGATCCTGGTCTCCTTCAGATATCCTCAACACGTTGCTGGGCGTGCCCGCGGAGTGTGTGCACCAGAGCGGTATATGGCCCTGCAAGTTGAGCTTCTCCTGCTGGCTGCAGGGCGGCAAGCATGCCAAGGGCTGTGGCAGCAACAAGTGGCTCTTCAGCTGCTGCATCGCCGCCGATCCCCAGCATCCGCATCTATCCCAGTCGCAGCTGCCGCATCCGCACCCGTCGTCTTTGGCGAATCTCATCGATTATGGCCAGCTCAAGATGAGTCTGCAGAGTCTGCCCAAGCGTATCATGTTGCGGCGTCGCGACGACAATGAGCTGCTCAACGTTCAGGTAAGATTTGTGGCTGCCACAGTGACGACTGAGCCTCCTCCAATCCATTACAGCCCGAGTGTGGGGTGCCACGAACTGCTCAGAACACGCTACAGAAGCGTATCATCGGAGGCCGGCCGGCACAGTTCGCCGAGTATCCGTGGCAGGCGCACATCCGCATAGCCGAGTACCAGTGCGGCGGGGTGCTAATCTCGGCGAACATGGTGGCCACGGCTGCCCATTGCATACAGCAGGCGCAGCTGCCGGATATCACCGTGTATCTGGGGGAGCTGGATACCCAGGATCTGGGCCACATAAACGAGCCGCTGCCAGTGCAGAAGCACAGCGTAGTGCAAAAGATTATCCATCCGCGCTTTAACTTTCGCATGACGCAGCCAGACCGCTACGATCTGGCTTTGCTGAAGCTGGCCCACCCCACGGCCTTCAGCGAGCACATCCTGCCCATTTGCCTGCCCCATTATCCCATCCGGTTGATCGGACGCAAGGGCCTCATCGCCGGCTGGGGTAAGACCGAGGCACATTTGGGGCATGCGGGCACCAACATGCTGCAGGTGGCCAGCGTCCCCATCATTAGTGAGTAGCTCTCCAGATCTTCCGAATTTCTGACTCCACTCATCATCATCAATATTTGCCATTTGCCACCATATCAGCCACCTTCGACTGCATTCGCTGGCACGAGAGCAAGCAAATAAATGTGGAAATCAAGGCGGAAATGTTCTGTGCCGGACACTCGGATGGCCACATGGATGCCTGTCTGGGTGAGTGAGTGGGGCAAGCAGAACAAGCAAGATATTCAAGTTCGTTGTCCTTCACAGGCGATTCCGGAGGTCCACTGGTGATCAAGGATCGCGGACGATTTGTACTCGTCGGCATCACTAGCGCCGGCTTCGGCTGTGGCGTCGATCACCAGCCAGGTGCGATCATTCCACAATAACTTACGATATGATTGGAAAACTAATTGACTGTTCTGATTTAGGCATATACCACAATGTTCAGAAGACTGTGAGGTGGATACAGGATGTGGTGACACGCAACGAATTGTAGCGAAAGCGCCTGGACTTAGCCCGCGACAAATCTCATTAGTTTATGGCTCGTAGCATTAGGCAGTGGATATGTGCAATCCAAATATGCCAAACCACATAAGAGACACATTTATTTAGTAGATTTAATAAATATTATTATTTACACTATTTATAATGTAGACTCCTTTCTTCCAATTATGGATCCCAGAGCGATGCCTATGCGGGCTTAGGCCGAGCACTTGGAACTCTTTAATAGTGCTGCTCTTCTTCTCCCTCTCTACTGAGACGAAACCCTCTTTATAGAACAAACGATGGCTGTGGTTCCCAAAAAGAAATACAGTTGGTTTCAAACAAATTTGATGCACATTATGAGTACAGGTCGTTGAGTATGTATTTAGTATTTAGCGATATCAATATGTATTTCATTGTTTGGTCAACAACAATACTCGGAAAAACATTTGGTGTGGCGTAACATTTTTGGGAGATTTGCCATAGATTTCACTACGATAAATTGTTGTATAAATAGTTTAACATTTAATATATAGCTGGTGGGGGCGTAGATTAACCAACAATTTACGATAACATACGATTGGCGCCCATTAATAGACGGTGCTGTGAAGACCCATGCGAGCAGCTGCAATGTAGAATCAACGGTTAAGGGATGTACATACTCGTATATGTACTTTTCTGAACTTTGATGAAATGATTGGCATTCAATAATCAAATTCGACAGACTCAAAATAGTTGTGTGTGTAATAGTAGGAAGCGAATCATAAATGAGTAGGAAATATAAATAAATTATGTATTTAAAATGAATACTTTCGTATGCTATGCGGGCGCTGTCATGGGACCATTTGTGTGGAGGCCTTTAGAGAGTGGCCTAGACCCAAATATCGATCTGATCGTCGCGACCAGCAGTAGCAGAGATGACAAAAACGGATCAAATGTATTTAAAACTTAGGCCATAGCTTGTTGCGTTTGTAAACTAAAAACAATCATTGAGATAGATTCGAAGGATAGAAGAATAGATGGTGCTTTAGCAAGTTACACTGGGCAATGCAAAAAAATCAAACGGGGATGGGCAGCTTCATCATCGTGAGTTCGTCTAGGCAACGGCATCGGTGGCGCATTCCTCCTCGACGGTGATGTACATACCCTCCTCCTCGTAGGCAGAGTCGTGCTTGGCAAGGATTCTCAGAAGCGGACGCAGACGCAGCCACCATTGCTTCTTTGGTATGCGTTGACTGGCGGAGAAAATTTCGAGAAATTACGCATGAAACAAGTCTCAAGATCTGGGGATACTCACTCAAAGTTTGTCTCCCCAATGAGATCGACGAGTGGAGTGAAGCGGTATTGACGCGACACAATGCCCAGCAAAGTGGCGGTGTCAGGAGCCTTGCAGGTGATCTCGCCGTTGGCATTGATGTTCGCCTTGATCTGCTCAGCCAACCAGTCGACGCACTTGGCCGCCATCTTCGTGCCCATGTTGCGGTCGAAGGGTGTGGGCGATCCTCCCTGCTGCATGTGGCCGAGGATGTTCATACGGCAGGTGAAGAGACCCTTGCCTTCCTCCGAGTACAGGCGATAGATGAAGTCTGTGCTATAGTTCTCGCAAGCCTTCTCGTTGCGCAGGATCAGACCTCGAGAAACGCCCTCGGCCATTTTGCTGGCCATGTGGTAGACATCCTGCTGCAGGTCCTTGATGGAGAACTTCTCCTCGTAAATGTACGCGGCATCCGCACCACCGGCCAGACCAGCCAGCGTAGCCAAATAGCCGCAATATCCGCCCATTGTCTCGATAACGAACACACGACGCTTCGTGCCCTGGGCCGACTGGCGGATACGGTCGCAAATCTCCGTGATTTCATTCAGACCCGTGTCGCAGCCGAGCGAGAACTCTGTGCCGGGCACATTGTTTGAAATCGTCGCGGGTACGACCACGATCGGGATGCAGAACTGTGGATAGTTATCGCGCTGATCGGCGATCTGTCCGGCGGCATGGTAACTCTCGAATCCACCGATGATGAGGAGACCCTGGATCTTGAATTCCTTCAAACGAGCAGCAATCTCTTTGAACTTTCCCTCGGGCAGGGTGCGTTTGGTGCCCAGATAGGCGCCGCCCTGTCCCACCCATCCACTCACATCCGACCTGGAGAGGAGATCGGTTATGCACTCCGCTCAACTCTGTAGCAACTCACGTGCAGACTCACCATCCCAATTCACGTACATTGCCAGCAATGAGACCCTCGACACCGTCGTTGATGCCATAGACAACGTCGCCACGATAGATGGCATTGCGCACGAAACTGCGCACGGCCGCGTTCATGCCACAAGAGGGGGCACCAATGTGCATGACTGCTAGCCTGTACCCCTCGATGCCCTTGCCTGCGGCATCGAAGCACTCCTTTGGTGGCTTCAAGCGGGTCAACATCTTGTATGTCTCCAGATTGCGCTCGAAGGAGCGCCCACGCAGCTTGACGGCATCCGCCCAGCGTTTCTCCTTCATGGCCTTGGCCACTGCCTGAGTGCGCTCCACACACTCCATCAACGGCACACGCACGGCCTGATTGCCATCCAAAGAGATGACCACAGGCACAGAATCCTTAGTGGCCTCCATCAGAGCCAAAGTCGCCTCGGCGCCCATGCGGCATGCCTGAAATTGGATGAGATCTTGTTAGGGAATGCTTAAGATGGAATGCTCATTCAGATACGAACCAAAATACGATCGAAGGCGCTGGGATTGCCGCCGCGCTGGACATGACCGAGGACCGTGATGCGTGCATCGTGCTTCAAGCGTTCATCGATCACCTTCTTAACATCCTCAGCGGTAATTGGATTTCCCTCACGGTCCATAGCACCCTCAGCCACGATGACAATGTTCAAACGCTGGCCAGCCGATCGTTCCTGTTTAAAAATCACTATGTATCAGTATTCTATTCATAGAGATAAAGAGGCGTGTTGTGCGCTTAATGTATTTACATTGATGTACGATTTACATATACAACAATTTTTTACTTCAAGCTGATGAATACAGTGCGTTTTAAAACTTGTTTTTAAGGTTTAAACTAAAGTATTCAATAATTTTGGATTTATTTATGACTTGGATTGAACTAACAGATGTTATGAAACGCACTGCAGCAGCTCATATTGTATGTATATGGAGTTTTGTATAAAAAGCACAAGCATAAGCCACTAAAACCAGTGAAAAGTGGACGATAGACATAAGTAGATGATGATTTAAAGATCGAAATGAGGATGAGTGTTAGTGGAGCCGGGGAACGTTAATAGAAACACACAATGAAACATGAAAATAATACAGGAGAGACCAAAGAACCCAATAAAATTGAATATACACAAGTTGAAGCTATGGCTTCAAAATAAATTCCAAAAACGAAGTGTTAGAAAGATGTTGGGAGATTCCAACTTAAAACTTTTATAGAGTAAACGCTAAAAAAACGAATGAAGGTAGGAGGAGGGCAATCAGCCTGACCTGATGGAGTTTGATACTGAGATCGTCCTGCCACGTGACATCCACTGGTTCTTCGGGTATAAACATAAAATCAGCCTCTGTGGCTATAGCCGCGGATATGGCTAAGTAACTAAAAACGAAAAGATTAAACACACAAAAAAAGAAAAAGGAAAATGTTGACAAACGTTGCTGTGAATCGATGAGGGGTGTGGGGGATAAACTTAAGATTATTTACAATGTGATACAGCAGGCGATACGGGATAGGGACAAACGCATACGTTAATTGTGCATAAATCAGAATCATCCAATAGATCAGACCATACCATACAATATATATGGAAAAAATCGAGTGTGCAGGAGTTAAAATGGAGCGTAAAATAATAAAATGTCAAACTCCTTCGCGTGTGTCTTTAGAACTCATACACTATACAAGTAGTGTTTTGTATCTAGCGAGTGTGCATTATTTGCTGGAGATCAAAGAAAGCGAGTGGAATATTTTGTAGTTCAACTTCTTGCCTGGGCCAATTGAGTGCACAGCCTATCTGGCCAATCGACTTTCGGGGGCATTTCCGGAATGAATATGAAATCAGCTTCACTAGACAATCCGGCAACAAGTGCTAAATAACTGCAAATATATATATATATATGTATACAATTTAGAAAATGTACTTATTAATCATAAAAGGAATTTGGAGATGGGCTGGATCGGATAGGTGGGTTGACGAGTAGTATCCACAGAAAGATCGAGTGATACGAGTATCTTGGAAGGCATTCAATGATGACAGAAATACAGAAATGTGCGAAATGAATGATTGCAACATTCAACAGATCTCTGTTTCCGCTTGCCTGTTCCAACTTAAGCACTAATTTATCGGGCCAATCGGTGGGCGGGGGATATTCAGGGAGAAAGACATAGTCTGCCTCGGATATAACGCCAGCCACCACTGATAAATATCTAGATATTCCAGGATTGACATTAGGAGATATGAATCATCGCGTTGTCCCCAATTAATCACCGCCCTCCTAACTGAAAGAACCCCTATTTTACCAGACCCCTTCTTACCCGCAATGACGACCCATAACCTCCATAATGAAGGTGCGTTGATGTGAGTAGGCCGTGCTTGAAATGGCGTCAATAGCCTCGATGATGCGATGCAGTGCAGAGTCCGTACCAATGGTCATGTCCGTGCCACAGAAATCGTTATCAATAGAGCCGACCTGGAAAAATCATTTGAATCGTTAGCTTATCATTTAAATGCAGAGTAGATTTCTCCTTCCATACCAATCCCACGATGTGCAACACACTGTTCTTCTCCTGCTGGGCGGCAGTGATGCTGCCATTCTTCACCAGCTCATCCAACAGGCTGGACCACTCCTGACGGAACAGATTGGCGCCGGTAAGGGAGCCATCACCGCCAATTATCACCAGGTTGGTGATTCCCTTCTGCACCAGGTTGTTGGCGGCCTTGAGGCGGCCTGCGCGTTCACGGAAATCCGCACAGCGGGCGGAGCCAATAATAGTGCCGCCGCGATGGATGATGGAGGACACCGAGGCCCAGTTGGCCTCCTGAATATTGTCACCGCCATCTACCATGCCCTGGTAGCCTTCGCGGATGAAGTAGGCCTGTGGATTGAATTATATAGTATTGATCAACTTTTATCGCAAAGTACCGAGTATCTGTTCTAAGTTATTGCCTAATAAATTGTTGGTTTTCCATAGCTATCATTGCCAAAATAAAGACAGACTTCACTGCGAAGACATAGAGTGATCCAACCAATCAGACCATCAAATTTCACTTCCATTGACCCAAAACTATTAAAATGGCCATCCAAATTTATTCTAATCAATTTCAATTACGGACAATTGAAAAAATATTTGCATATTTTTTGGAGCAAAAACTTCGAATTGAAACGAACCAATTGGTCAGATGGAAGATACTATTTAACCGAAATTTAGAACACAACAAAAAAGTGAAACAGAAATTAGCCGAAAAAATCGCATGTGAAGCACCAAAAATAAACTCAGTGTCAATGCGCACAGACACATCTGCACACACACTAACACATACACTAAGAAATTTCTTAGTTGGCCTGATAAAGATTATCTAACTGCTAATCCATTAACTAAGTTCAATGCCTGCGATAAGAGTGGTGTACATTGATAATTCGAAGCATTTTACGTAAATTACAGATCTAAATGTTGTTACAGGTGGGGGTGGGGTTTTGGAGCTTGGGTGGTGGGTGGTAAAAGTACTTGGCAGAGGTCACTACTCACCTTGCATCCCAAATATATGGCCATACGCACACATGCACGCACAGCGGCATTCATGCCCTGGGAGTCCCCCCCGCTGGTGAAGACTGCCAGCCCCTTGTCCTTCTGCGAGCCGCGGGCCAGAAAACGTTGATTAATTTCGGAGTTCATGGCGAATTTTCTTTGAATTAATTCTTTGATAAAATTTTAATTGTGACTGTTAACGTCTTTCTTCGCTACCGGTGGGCGCGTACACACACAGACACACACACACTGGCCCCGAAAACACCCACTGGAGGGAGATTATAGAGATTGTTATTTTAAACACCCTCGAAAGTCCTTTTTTCAATCAGTCCAAGGCGGAGAGTGTCGGGAGACTGTCACAGGAGGGGCGGTGGGGATAAATATTATATCCAAAGAGTTATTAATAAAATAAGTATTCTCCGGTTCCGTTCCGTGCTCTTTATCAGCGAAATTAAACTAACGATGTTTTGCAAAACATCGATACAACATCAGTAAACATCGGCAGAAAAACATCGATGCTCGATGCATCGATGGAATTTGTTAATATTTTTTTATATTTTTTGGAATGGGAAGCGATTGCAAAAAGTTAATTTAAAGCTAAGTTTGATCTGGAATATACACACACACATACATAAAAAGCTTAAACATGCTTTCTAAGGTAAATGTATGTATGTATGTATGTATGCTGTATGTACAGGTTCGATGATAGTCTCTTTATTCGTTTTTGTTATCTTCGATAGCTTTTGTTTTCATTTTTTTACTTTACATTTAAAACAAAAATGTACTTTTACGTCATTTTGCGACATGACCTTCACTTTAACCTTGCTTCTACACACGTGACCTTAAAATGACCTTGACCTACACACGTTTTTTAATTTTGAATTTTTTTTGACACAGGTGGTTTCTTTTTTTTACAAATCCGGAATAATTTCGGAAAACATTTTATTTTATTTTTTAAAAACCAGCTGATTTTTTTTGATTTTTTTTTTGTTTACAAAAATTTTTCCAAAATTACAATGTCAAATGAAAAACAAGACTCAGAGTTGCCACGTCGCGGTGGTTTTTCTGACAGGGTGGTACCACTGTGAAACTAGTGGAACTAGTTCGTTGCTAATGTGTTTAATTTTATTTCTTATTTTAAATCAAATCAAATATCGAAGCGCGACTGATAAGTCTGATGCAATGTGGGCGTTGTTTGGATTTACACGGCACTGACTCTAAGATAAGATAAGGTTTATCTCTGCGGATGGTAGCGATTAAGCGCTCTGGACTCGTTTTGTTTACGTTCAACCCACAGGCAAGTGTGCGTGTGAAGAACAGCTGTTGCTGCTCAGCTGTTGAGCGCTGCGAGTAAAAGCTCCGAGCTTTCTCTTCTAGTGATGAACCACGGGGGCCAGCGGTGTATGCCGGCGGTTATCGTATCTTATTGATTTCTTTTGAAATCGTAACGGAATGTAAAAGCTAAAATGAATAATTCAACTTACATAGAGATTGCGGTTTCTGGGACCGTATTTGTAAACTTCCTTGATCCTTTCCAAGTGTAACTCCGGTGCTTCTAGTTTCTCAGATGAAATATTTAGTTTTTTGGTCTCTCCGAGGACGCTTTTGTTCATTTTTCCATCGACAGAATTCTTTAGGTTGATACCCACTATATCCATAACTGATTCAGTAAGAATATGTTGCCCGTCCATTTTACATATCTTTAAGGCTGACGAACACGGAGTTTCCATTTGAATGGCACTTAGGTTCTGATTTTGAACGTTGATTGGCATCGCCTCATGGTCCATCCCCCTGGCTCCACTCAGGATCGATATCACTTGAGATGGGCTTTCGCAAAAATAGCGGTAATACAACTCAGTATTGTGTTCCCGAAGAGCTATCAAAAACTCGTACTTCCTCTCCAAGCTTTTGGTCTTTTTCAAATATGTCTTGATATCAGTCAGATCCTTGTGGAAGCCATCGCCTTGGTCTTTACTACAGCTATGTATCCATCGATGGTAGAACGTTGCTCGACTCAACTAGATAAAACGTAATCAATACGATAATCTTACTACAAATAAGAGGGTGGTTCTCACCTTTAACCTTTGGTAAAGTGTTTGGCCCATCCGATTTTCGGAAATCTTGGATAATTTTAAATAGCAAGGATGAGGCTTTGGTATCCGCTCATTGCAGCCACAAATACTGCAAACGGATATCGATACACATTATATTGTTAGAAAAGAATTTATTTGCATTCATACCTTTTTTGGAATTTAGCTAATACTCGAAATTTGTATAAATGCATGCCACCAATTCAGCTAACGATTATATTTCAAAAGCATACATCGATCTGCATAGATAATTCTTAGAATATGGCGCATTTTATTCACTTATTACTTTTTTATATGTTTTTCTTTGGGCATTGTACCAAAAAAGTTTAATTTTGTTTGTATTTTACGAATTTATGTATTGTTTGACACTTAATATAGATGAGCTCTAGATGAAGATTGAAATTAAATTGTACGAGTATATCAGACTGTTTGTTTATCGGTGTTTTATCACCTTTCGCTTAAGATCGCTCCCACATTATTCCAAATGAAAACAAAGAGTCTATTTAGTTGGTTTTTTTTATGATTTATTTATTTAATTTTTTTTGTTTTTTTGTTGGTAATTAAGAAACTGTAATTTCAATAAACTTAAACTTTCCACTCATACATCAATCTTTGCCTCTATTATATGCATACAATTTACGTCTACACCTGGTTTTCCGTCTGGTTGTCATTTACTCTCTTTTACTCTGTTGTTTTTGTCGTTTGTTTCATTTATGTATGTATTGCAGTTACATTATATTATTATTTTCTTGTAATTCGACTTATTAGCGTTGCGGCAAAAAAGTGTTTGTTTTTTTTTATCATGTTTTAAATATATATATTTTTTATGCCTCACATTCATAATATAGCGATAAATTCAATTGCGAAAATATACATTTACTTTTATCATACACACACATATATATGCAGTTGCACATATGTATATGGAAATATATACATACACACAAGTATATAATGCTCAGTATGTTTACCATTCTGTTCTTGTTGTTTTGGACAATAAGATTTATATATTTATATATAGTATATTTTTGCATTTTAAATTTTTCTTTCTTTTTAATACACATGCAATGTTTTCTTTTATGGAAATTAAAAATTTGAATAGATTTCGTTTACAATATTTATGTATTTTGATTTGTATTTGGTTTTTAGTTCATTTTGTTCAAATATTTCCATTGTTAATGTGCAGCCTGCGTTCGCCAAAAGTTAGTAACCTTTCGAAAGCTTGGAAGTCGAAAATTGCTAGTAAAATTAATAAAACCGAAAATTGGGAAAAAAAAGAATTCTTTGATATTAGGAACAATTGATGGCTGTTTTCTTATAAAAAAGAGTTAAAGTAGATTGGGATAGTCCCGTAGAAGCCCTAAAAAGAGTATAAACCCTTGTGCAACCCTTGCGCACAATAAAACTCGTGCCTAAAGCCATGTTGCACAGTGTGAAAATTATAATGACTTCGTTCGCATTCTAGTTGTTTTTTAATTTTTATTTTTTAGCTGGCCGAATAATTGGATATCCCTTCATTCGCAAGTTTTCTCTATAGAGAGTTGGATTATATGTATGTATGCAAGTATTATATGAGTGTTACACTTTTCACAATTATTGTATAATACCAAGAGAAGACAACGAGGAAATTTGTAATTGTATTTTTTTAACCTTTTGTTTATATGTAAGACATGTATAAAAAATAGCAATGAACAACTATATTTTATTCTGTATTTCTCTCAATCTCACTTTCACTTTCCTTTAACAGATACGGTCCCCGTTTCGGTACGGCCGCCCCCCCTCCCAGTATGGAAATGGGGGATCGATCATTCCAAAACCAAGTTCCTCACATGCATTATAAATGCAACCCTGTGTTTGCTGTGTCTATGTGTGTGTCTGTCTGTGTGTGTGTGTGGGTGGATGGATGGGGGAACTTAGCAACTTAAAGAAAATTTCAAATAAAATGTAAAACAAAAAAAGGGAAATTAGGTTTTTTTGGTTTTATTTGTTTAGAAAAAGAATTACAAATAATACATAAGTTTCTGTTTTACTTTTGTTGTTTTTCTCATTTGGTTCGCTTGTGGTTGTTGATTCTAGTTTCTGCTTGTTGTTGCTGCCTGACCAAAAATTACATAATTAATTTAATTTCTTGCAAAAATTTATAAAAACAGAAAACAGAAAATAATCGCTTTAATTTTGTTTTATGTATACAATTAGGAATATTATTGATTGGTTGTTGTTGTTTCAATGAGGAAATTCACACGAGCATCATCGCACTAAAGCACAAAAACCGAGCATGCGTCTGTCTACTGATGCGATGAAGCCCTATCTCTATGTGTGGAATTGTATGCTCAAGCAGTTGCAGTGGATTGGATCATTCATTTGACTCGGATCAGTGGGGTCGGCCTCCTACATGCTACATATACATACAACTATGTATAGGTATATAGGCAAATAAAACCTTACGTTTCTGTAGAGCACGCTCTATAATGTTCTAACCACGATCCACGGCTTCAAATGAAAAGCATTCTGCAATTCTGTAATTTTGAATTAAATGTTGCATATGATTCCTCTTCCTGCCTGTCTCCTGTTGCTGTCTGCCTGCCTGGTATTATCGTTTCATTTCAATTTGTTGCTTGTGTTTTTGCTTTGCTGTTTGCGTTTTGCATTTATATTTGTTTCTCCTTGTTGTTTCTGGTTTTTGTTTTGTTTTTGTTTGTATTACTGAATAATATTTGCATAGTCAAAAAGGAAACATTTTGCTTAGTTGTTTGGTTAGTTGTCGCCGCCCTCCTGTGGCTCATCGCCATCGCCCTGGGTGTCGGAGGTCCAGAGAGTCAGGTTATCCCTCAACAGTTGCATGATGAGTGTCGAGTCTTTGTATGAGTCCTCGTTGAGTGTGTCCAACTCGGCTATCGCATCATCGAACGCCTGAATCGGGAACAAACAGAATTCATTATTAGTCAGCGTTCTTTTGGGGCGTTCTTCATTAGAGGAAATGTTTGGCAAGGCAAAATCAAGTTGGTAAAACAAAAGCATTTTTAAAGTTGCGTTAGGATCATCAAACATTCACAATTTCTTATCGCTTCACTTAACAACTCTACTAAACTTTAAACTAAACTTGAAAGCGGAATATACAAAACCAAAATAACAAACGAATTTTGACCTTAACTAAAAAAAAAAAAGGAGAAAATAAAAAAAAATTGTTCACCAGCAAAGGCCGCAGGTAAGTCGGTCGGGTCGGTCGTTAGTTAGATTACAGGCAATGTTTTTTTAAGCATTTCTCATGCGATTCGGGGTAAAGAGAAGGATATATACAGCTTTTCAGGACTAAGTCTGTTGAAAGAAACCATCAAAAATGATTTTTACATCGAACTTGGTACAATAGTATTTCGGTGCGCAGTCTTCTCTCGTTATTAATTTTGGGATCCCGTCACACACCTCTCCCATTGTCCTGAAACGCTTTGTTCACGTACATATTGACATATATATAGTATCCTTCAACTTGGCTTGGGGATTAAGCTCTTTTAAATTGTGGTTTTTAGTAATCGCTGGAAATGCTTCTCTCAGAATTTTAGTCACAAAACAACGACAACTTATGCGGGTGTGTGTATGTGTGTGTGGGTGTGTGGGCGTGTGGTTTGTTTGTGGATTAGTATTGAGGGAAATTAGAATTAGATTCGGAAGCTAGGTTAGAGCAGACTTAAGACAGAGATATGCATAAGTTGAACTGAACCTGTTTAGCTAAATGACAAGCCCTCGCTGGTGAATTGATAATTTCGTAATAGAAGACGGAAAAGTTGAGTGCGAGCCCTAATCTGATTGGATGTGTTGGCTGCATTTTGGTTTTTGCAATATCAAACGCCTCCTGATAGGCTTTTTTCGAGTCCTCAACGACGGCTTAACAATTTACACGATTTTTTTTAATTACAATAATAAAAGAAACGAAACAAATTAAAGCAAGTTAGAAAAAATATTGAAACAGTTGTATATGGATATGGGATAGTTCTTATATAGATAGAGATAGAGAAGTAGAGTTTTTATGTTTTTTGTTTTTTTGCTTTGCTCGCTTGCCATACATTTCCAATAAAGTTCATTGATTCATTGTTCGTTCAGTTATTAACCTGTTTAGCCAACTGGCAAGCTTTGTCTGGAGAGTTTAAGATCTCATAATAGAAGACTGAGAAGTTAAGGGCCAGACCCAAACGGATTGGATGTGTTGGCTGCATTTTTCCCTTGCTAATGTCAAATGCATCCTGGTAAGCGGTTTGCGAGTCATCAACAACAGCTGCATTTTTAAGAATGGAGTTTGGATTGGATTTATATAGATATATATTGCATATCTTGTGTTTCTTTTGTATAGGTGCATTTTGTATATAATACTTTGGTGGGGTCCCTGCCCCCGAAATACTTACTATTGCGTGCGTCTCCTGTGGCAACCTCGGCCAAATACCTGTAATAATCGCCCTTCATCTTCAGATAGAACACCTTGCTCTCGGGATTGCTGGCTTTTGGAATAAGATATTTGTCCAGAAGTCCCTGTAAAACAAAAACGGTAATTTTAATAACTTTTTGAAGACAGACAATGTAAATGTACTTTTAATTAGCCAAAAGAGCTCCCAAGATTATTATAAGCCTGGGCATAGAATTTTCCATTTAAAATTCAATCAAGTACGAGTTGAATTAAGGCTTACATAAGAGAGGAGAAGGGAAGGGGAAATACCAAGCCCAAGGAAAACTCAAGTTCATCCCTGGCCATGGTCTATTTTTTGATCCAAGTATTTATGGGGGAAATACGGGTATTGTATAGGCCAAAGCCACTCTCAGAATGTATGTGGGGGTAAAGTGGAAAATGTTCATTTTAAAAATAGATTTATTGATTGAAACAAATTTGATATTTCACAGGGGAAAGAAAGAAGCGCACAAAACTGTGCTTTCCACGCCAACCACCATACCACAGCCACCCCTAGCCTTAGCCCCAGCCCCACACGCCCGCCCTACCGACCGACCGACAGCTGAGCTCGTTTGGGGCTCTTCTATGCGGTGCGGATAACGGCTGACAGGTTCGAGGCTTTGGCCTACAGACATAGCCATCAATAATTTTAGATGAACAGCACACCGTAAATTGTGTGTATCGGCTGCGTGATGTGTGGATAAAAATAATTAGATGGACCAATTACAACCCATAAAACAAGGACAGCCAAATGGCGGACGGCTGACAGGCTGTCGGGACGGGACGTGACGGGACGGACGGACTTGCGCAGTCCTTCGAGTGTGTATTACTTACCAAAACTTCATAGCAGATTTCCCGCAGCTCCTTCTCCACACGCTCTCTGTACTCACGGGCAAGCTGTTGTTTTCTAGCAGATGCTTCGGTTTTCTGCTCAATGGAGGAGATGACGCGCCACGATGACCTGGTTGACAAACAGACAGGGTTGTTTGGTTGTAGGGTTGTAGGGTGGGATGGGGACGATAGAAAGAGTTAAGTGTCAGCGTAAAATATTACCATTGATGTATGTTTAAAGACATTAATCAAGTCCCGGTTCGTACGACTTACCTGCGTGCACCGACCACATTTTTGTAGGCAACGGAGAGCAGATTTCTTTCCTCATTTGAGAGTTCGACGCCCGTTTCTGTGACGGACTTCATGGCCTGGGCCATGTCATCGTAGCTACATATATAGAAAATATAGGTTCAGTAAATATTTGAATAAACATACCATAGTGTTCAGTCATTGCTTACCGTTCTGATTGCTCGGCCAGTTTAGCCTTCTGGACCAGTTCTTCCTTATCGACTGTCGACATTTTGTTTGTTTTTTTTTTTCAATTACTTCACAAAACTAAGGATGTATGTGGGGTGTGTCTGTCGTTCACACGGCGTATATATATATAGATCCCAGAGGAAAAATCAATTAAAGCAACAGGAATACGCCACAAAGTTGTTTTTATTGGCTTTCTGCAAGAACATATTTCAAGTAAACAACAACAAATTCATTAAATTTTATATAAACATAATTTCCGAATAAAATAAGGAATTCGGTTTAAGATCTCATAGATGAATACTTATATCCATGGACTATGGTTAGATATTGCTTCCTCTCCTTCTACCCAATACACCCAAATTGTGCTACCTGCAACATTTACACAGGGTAAGCCACACATATTTACTTTGTTGTCATGCTTCCGCTGAGAGAAAGTGTCAAGTTTAAAACTTTTGATGACTCACAGAAGGCCAAACGCTGATTGAATGGCTAATTTACAAGGCAAGTACATGGTACACACACGTGCCTCAACCATTTTAAAGCTCAGTTTAGAGTCAGTTAAACAAGACGATTAGTACGAGGACGGACTATCTGACAGGCAGATTTTCAGCGATCGTCTGTGTACGAGAAGTGGATGGAAAAGTCGAAAAGACGTGTAAAACACACAAGTCCGACAACAAAGATAAAAATAAATCATGAATAAAAAAGAATTCTGAGAGAGAGAGGAAGACAAACGGAGAAAAAATAGAGCAAAGGCGGCTCGCCTCTGTGACTCGTTGGTGTATGTGTTCTCGTGTGTTTTACTATGTATGTATGTGTGTATTTGAGTGTGCCAAAGATAGATATTTATGTCCGTGCATACATATGTATGTATTTACGATATGTACGTTTGATTGCAAGCGTACAGTGACGCACTCCATTATTTGCACAGTAAGCAACCGGCTATGCGAATCATTATTATTCTCAACAAAACAAATTGTGCCAGAACTGCACATCTGACTCACGTAATCCGTTTAGCAAATGTTTCGAGCAAAGCAATAGGATCAAATTTTATCGTAGGATCAATTTTCCGGTTCTGTTTGACAGGAAATCGATTAATTTCCGCCTTTCTGCCTAGAGAAAGCTGGATTCGAATCGAGCACGATGGAGTGAGTGGGAGGGAGGGAGGTAAATTGTTCTGTGTGGGGGAATGCATGTGGGCGTTGCTGGTATTTTTAGACAACGGCCACTCTGGATAAAACTTTTTGTTTTCCGTCGAGAGTAAAAAATGGGAGAACCGACAGACGAAGAAGCCTCGACATCAAGCAAAAACGCAGCAGCAATGATTGAAATCACCGGTCAGCACTTTCGATGTTTTACCACCCACTCCAACCCCCCAACAAGCAATCCATCAGTTGGATTTTTGCATTGTGCTCCGGACTACATATGCCGCTAGCTATCGACTGCCAAATCAAAAAGCATTGACCCTTTGTATCAAAGCAAACAATATATCCAAGTACATAATATACGAATGTGTGGGTGAGGGACAGAGAGAGACAGGGGAGTAGGTTTGGCGACCAACTCGTTTCTGGGTCAATCGACGTGTTTTTCTAGCACCCTAATTGCCAAAACATTAAGCGAGGCGTAACGTAATGCTCTCCCGTATATGGGGTTTTCGGTGGAAAGACCTGTGCTTGAATACATAGATTAAAACTTGTCCCGACCACGCAAAACACAAATCTCAGATGATGATCATCATCGAGAAGAGGAAGAATCGGCGCTCACATTGCTCATCCCCATGCATTCCACACGCACGCACACACATGCATTGCGTTACAAAAAGTTTTGTGACACACCAGCCGGAGACCGGAGGAGCCGCATCGAGCGAAGTCTACAAAAGTGTCGGTCGGCATGGGGCAGACGATGATGACGGCACTTTAAAGACCGCCATACTATGTACATGAGTACTGTGTGCGAGAGTGTGAGTGTTCTTGCGCCGGCCCATGAGCCAAGCAACGGTGAATTGTACCCAGCATGCGCAGTAGCTAAAAAGAATAGAAACGTAGAATGTAGAAATTCCTCTACATGTAGACACACAGCAACACGTTCATATGGATGTGTGTGAGGGAAGTTACTAACTTTTGTGGGCAATGTATCAGTATTAGGCTCTTGACGATGGCGGTGGGGTGCTTGGGGCAATCGTGTTTCTAAGTGCGGCGCTACAGAATTATAAAAATATCTGAGAGCAGTGAGGAGAGCGAACGCGTACAAAAATACTCTCGCACACACACAAACACCGATAGCCGCATAGGCGGCGAGAGAAAATGTATCTACCACAGTCGGACAAAAGTGTGTTGAGTTCAAAAACACACCTAACCGCGTGTCCCCATCCAAGTTTATATATATGTACGTATATATGCTGTACATATATGTGTATATAGAAGTCGGCTATGCCCGCCGCCTACAATTTAACCGAGCTGATGAAAAACGAATCTCACCGCATCACATACATACATACACCAATACCCTGGCAACTCGGGCACTCTTTTTTTCGCACATATTCACAGGTTCTACGTTTTGCGTAGGATTTTTTTTGATCGATCCCTTATGGAATGATGCGTAAAAAGGTAGTACTCTTGGTAAAACCATATTTGCGCAGTACGGTATATGTGCACGTACATTCTGCTAAATTTTCCATCATTTCTCGAATTCGTTTTAACCGATTTTACACGTGTTCTGGCATATTTTCCGTTTTATAATTTCAGCATATACCTGCACACATTCGCACCAATATTTCATGTATTTAGTGCACACATACTTTTCGGCCCAACTAAATATTACTTACATTCTCGATTAACTTGAAACGACGACGAACACTACCAACGACCGAATGAAAGCGACGGCACTGTATCTGTGCTGCTATGATGTGATTCTGTCATAGTGTGCGGAGAGGCACACATACACAGGCGGCGCATGCCCGCCACAAGTGAGCGTATTGCAGCGTTGCCAACCTGACGGTGGCAGTAATGCTGCCAGGTGTGCTCTGCTTTGCGTCAGCCGATGTTAATATTTAAACTTTAAGCATACCAGCCAAGCTTAACTGGGTGTGTATGGGCATGGAACACAATAAAATAAATATATAAATTAAAAAGTTGATGCCATGACGCATTAACATCGTCCATCACTGACTGGCAATTTTGTATTCTATGGATGTTGAAGAGTTTTCGAGAACGATACTTTCCAGTTTCCCCACTACCTGTTGAAATTTTCAGACGAGGCGGTTATCTGCTCGCAGATTACGTTTTTATCTTAACTTTATGGCCCTGAAGGAGGAACCTAATCGGCAGATGTATACCATTGATAAGAAGCAGCAAATTGCCTTAATTCTAATGTGGCAACCATTGAATTCTCGCTCTGCACAGAGCATATGGACTGGCGAGGCGAGATATCACCTCCACTTATTTTTTAAAGAGTAACTGAATTAAAGTTTTTGTTGCTGGCAACGCTGTTTACTTTTTACTTGTCAATTTACAAAGAACAAGACGAAAAAAATTACGTCATCGGCGTCCTATTCTCTCACATACGTATGCGGTAATTCTACTGGTATTTGGCAATAGTATAGTTGTTAATCACACGTAGCACTTAGGGAACATTGAATTCCCATAGAGCGATCCAATTAGGCAATCAAATCGATAAATATGTACGTATGTGGTTTATAAAAGAAAATTAGGGCCGCCGACAACATGGCGGTCAGAAACCGACCGACGGACGATTCACAACTTGCATGACTCACTGCCCATTCGCGATATTACATATTACACCATATAGACACTTGTTCCGATGTGCGACAATAATAACTTACACTGTTTTATTAATTTGCAAAACTTATTAACAAAATGATATTTATTTCCCACCAGTGTGACCGCGGACTTATTGATCAAATATACGGTCTGACTGTCAGAAATATACCAAAATATACCGTTTCATTAAAAAAATATACCGTAAATATACTGACGAACTCAAGTTATATTATTCATATTCCCCATTTTCTTTGTTCCGTCGAATATTACCAGCTATATAGAACATTTAGCCATGCCCACATAATTATATCCGATTAATTAAACTATTCTCAACTTGACTGGCTTATTTAAAACACTTGCTTTTATTGCATTTTGCGTAAGAAGAGGTTTTAGTGAAATAAGTCAAACAAAAAACAAGTAGCGAAATAGGTCAATCAAAACAAACGAAAAAGGAAATTCGTTCATATTGCTCAATTTTGATATTCCATTGAATAATGCTGACTTATTAAATCTTTTAGCAATTCCCACATAATTTTCTCACATTGATGAATAAATTTTCTACAAGATTGAATAGTTTTTAATCCTTGCTTTTATTGTATTTACTGTAAAAAAAGGTTTAAACGAAAAAGTCTAACAGAAAAAGAGTCACTATGTTGCGTGAAAGCCGTAGTATAGGCCTTTGTATACCCTATTTTGTTAATTTTATATGAAGATGAAACGTGATTTATAAAGACCTTTTCTCAAATTGATATTCTTTAGACATATTCAAGTACATTACTAGTATCTTGTATATATTTATCTCGATCCTGATACCTACTGAGCCTTGGAAGACAAACGTATTCACAATTCTATAACATCCATTTCCCCCAGGGTATGTGTGCTTGGAATTAGCAACATTTGTGCATGGAATGCGACACATTTGTGTATGGAATGGGACTCATTGTTGCAATAGCGAAACTGCGGCGAATCGGGTATTGCCTATATTTCAAGCTATATAGATTTGCCCACTTAGCTTTATCCCATAGATAAATGCATTTTCTACAAGATTGCTTCTTTTAATTACCATTATGTATTTTATTTTGACCAAAAAACGGTTTTCAAGTAAATGTTGCCGCAACTTTTGTGTATGGAATGCGCAACATTTGTGTATGGAATGAGACTCATTGTTGCTAAAGCGAACTGGGGCGAACTGCGGCGAATTGCGGCGAATTCAAATTTTCTCATATTCTTTGTTCCGTTGTATAATACTATCTATATGGAACATTTAGCCATGCCCACTCAATTTTGTACGATTGATGAATCAATTCTATACATGATGGGACTATTCGAAATACTTGCATTTATTGGATTTTTATATAAAATTGAAAATTAAATTAATAGATTGATGAAATTGACAAAAATACCATGGGAGCGCGGCGAAAACCAGTATTTCTACAGTATGACCCTCAGAACAGCACCGAAATATACGGTCTCATTTGAAAAATATACCGAGTGGTGCGCGCCAAATCGAACTTTTTTGAATGTGAGCGACAAGGATTTAAATGTTGTCAACCGGGCCTTTATCTATGCCCACATAATTTTATACGATTAATGAATCAATTTTCTACACAATTGGTTAGTTTTTAGTCCTTGCTTTTATTGAATTTTGACTAAAACACGGTTTTCAAGTAAATGTTGCCGCAACATTGTGTATGGAATGGGACTCATTGTTGCTAAATCGAACTGCGGCGAATTCAAATTCGATTCAAAAAACGACCAATTCCTCATATTCTTTGTTCCGTTGAATAATACTATCTATATGGAATATTTAGCCATGCCCACTTAATTTTGCACGATTGATGAATCAATTCTATACTTGATTGGCCTATTCAAAAAACTTGCATTTATTGGGTTTTTATATAAAATTGAAAATGAAATTAATAGATGACAAAAATACCATTTAGCACTAAAAAACACCTCATGGGAGCGCGGCGAAAACCAGTTTCTACAGTATATACGGTCTCACTTGAAAAATATACCGAGTGGTGCGCGCCAAATCGAACTTTTTTGAATGTGAGCGACAAGGATTTAAATGTTGTCAACCGGGCCTTTATCTATGCCCACATAATTTTATACGATTAATGAAGCAATTTTCTACAAAATTGGTTAGTTTGTAGTCCTTGCTTTTATTGTACTTTGACTAAAACACGGTTTTCAAGTAAATGTTGCCGCAACATTTTGTGGAATGGGACTCATTGTTGCTAAAGCGAAACTGCGGCGAATTCAAATTCGATTCAAAAAACGACCAATTCCTCATATTCTTTGTTCCGTTGAATAATACTATCTATATGGAACATTTAGCCATGCCCACTCAATTTTGTACGATTGATGAATCAATTCTATACATGATTGGCCTATTCGAAATACTGGCATTTATTGGATTTTTATATAAAATTGAAAATGAAATTAATAGATGACAAAAATACCATTTAGCACTAAAAACCACCTCATGGGAGCGCGGCGAAAACCAGTTTCTACAGTATATACGGTCTCACTTGAAAAATATACCGAGTGGTGCGCGCCAAATCGAACTTTTTTGAATGTGAGCGACAATTACTTAAATGTTGTCAACCGGGCCTTTATATACTTTTATACGATTAATGAAACTATTTTCTATTTGACTGGTCTATTTTAAGTACTTGCTCTTATTAGATTTTGCCAAAAAAAGGTCAAACATTGTTTTTGCCTTAATTTTTGTTGCTCAACAACAATATAGCGACTCGTATGATGCAAAACCGAACTTAGCCCACTTAAACCCCTATATTTAAATAGTTCAACTAGTTGAGGTAAATGGCGTATATATTCCGCGATTGTAAATTCTTCTTGTAGATAATTGCCATCTTTCCTCTGAATTTCAAAAAACACCACGATATCTTTCACTTGAACTGCGCTAAAATTAGTAAATTTTCATTATTTCCGGTGGATTACTAACAACATTATTATTATTATTATTATGAGTTAATCGTTAAGGGGACCCCTTTTTATTTGATTGTTTATAAGATAAGGTTAAAACGAAAAAGGTCAACGCATAAACGTAAATATACACGGAATGAAACGTAAGTGTATGGAACGTTACGTCATTGTTGCTAGTCACAGGTATCCGCCATGAGTATGGAAATTTGTATACCCTATTTCATTTCAATTTGATTACAGTCTTCTATATATATCCCGGTTCCGATACATAGTTCCGTTATCTGCAAGAATACCATAAACTAACAATAAAAACAACAAATACAGTTTTTCCGGTATGCGGATCTTTTCCATTGGTTATATTAATTCTGTATACACTATTATTAACTGTGTTTTATCTATTTCGAATACTAAGATTGTTTCTACGGCAAGCGAGAGCAAGAAAAAAACCCACCACTAAGAATATGAGATGATATATCTCTGCCTAGGCTAGTATTGAAGTTTATACTATTCTATATATTCCCCATATACCTCTAAAAAACAGTTAATAAATTTAGAAACATTGCCAGCAGTGAGAATTAAATACCATTTCATATCGATGCTTTTGTGAAATACAAATCATATGAAAATAATACACTGAATATATGTATATATAGCGTGAGTCCTACTTGCCATGGGTATTTTAGTAATCACGATCAATCGCCCATCTCCAACGTGTAAGCCAAGGATGCATTCCGATGAAAGCAGCACTTATCGATACTAGCGCGGCTATCATCGATATATCTCACGCTCATGCACGTGTTTACTACTCGCATTATTTTTGTGTTTTGAAATTTCATATTTAGACCAGTCTTTACCTGCGCACAAAGATGCCACGCTCCAAACGCGATAAGAAAGGTACGTCTTTAGCTATTTGGAAAGCTTTGGAGTAGTTCTTAATCCAGAGACCGTCTATTACAGTTTCGTTAACAAAGACCGACCGCAAGGGTCTGGCTTGGAAACAGCGATTCGTCGATGATATCAGATTCTGTGTAGGAAAGTACCCCAATATATTTGTGTTCCAGGTGCAAAACATGCGCAACAGTATACTGAAGGACCTGCGACAGGAATGGAAGAACAACTCGCGCATCATCTTTGGGAAAAACCGCGTAATGCAAATCGGCCTGGGACGCACAAAGAGCGAAGAAATGGAAGCAGGTCTGCACAAGGTAAAGTTCTTGTCAATCTATCCATATAAAATCTAGCATTTCTAATGTTTTGTGTGTTGAATCAGCTCGCCAAGCGCCTTAACGGCCAGGTGGGTCTACTGTTCACAGAAAAGTCCAAAGAGGAAGTCTTGGAATGGGCAGAAAATTACTGGGCGGTGGAATATGCGCGAAGTGGTTTTATCGCAACCGAGACGGTTACATTGCCAGCCGGTCCCCTCGAGGACTTTGCCCACTCCATGGAGCCCCATTTGCGTTCGTTGGGCATGCCCACCAAGCTGGAAAAGGGCATCGTGACCATCTACAGTGATTACACCGTATGCGAAGAGGGAAAGGTCCTTACACCCGAGCAAGCGCGTATACTCAAATTGGTGGGCAAACCAATGGCCAAGTTCCGAATGACGATTCAGTGCTCCTGGACAAAGAGTGATGGCTTCCAGTTGCACGTTGAGGACGGAATAAACGACGAAACCCAAGTCGACAGCGCCGTAGAAGAGGATGCCGAGGAAATGGACGAAGATGATGATAATGAGGACGAAGCTGAATAAATTAGTTTTAAGTTTAGAATTAATTTTTTATGTATATATGAAGTAAAATACATATATATGCACATACTTTTATCAGATATTTGGTTGGTCTTCGAAAGTAGTTTCCATTATATAAAATCATACTCTATATGTATATTTATATTTGACATTATATTATCTTACAATCAACACAGATAATACTTTACTTGAACATTAAGCTAAAACTAAGTAAACGAAAACACTTAAAAAGCATTTGTGTATAGTATTGCAGCAAAGTCAAAGCCATTTCACGTTGCAAAGAAATAAAAGATTAGCAAAGGCACTCCAGGGATCCAACCACATCCGGATCCTTAACTCGCAACCGGTGGATCGCAGCCATTGTCTGTCACTATGAACAGGACCACGGGCCGATTAGCACCGTCTCCGTCTTCCGATTTATCTACACTGACGACACCCAGCAGATCGTTTCCTGACAGCGATGGGGCTGGCGATAAGTCATCGAGCTCTGGCGCACTTGTTGTTGCTCTTAGAAAGAGTTTCAAGGGTATTCCCTGTTCCAAGAGTTCTGGATTTATAGCCTGATCCTCGATACTGTCTGGTCCCAAATCTGTCATCAAATCCATCTGCTCATCATCCTCCCTCTCTGCTGGTAACGTAAACGGCTCCTCAGGTGTGTCCATATGTTATTTGCCCGACAGCAAGGCTGGCGCCGAAATAGTTGGTACAGTGCATCCGGCTTCCATATGCTCGATGACCTGCTGCTTCAGCTGCGCCACATGATCCTTGAGACTTTTCACAATGCCGCCCAAATCAACGTTCTCGCCCTTCAATATCTTCACGCGGTCCTCCAGCTTCGAGATGCGTTCCAGCTTTCGCTTGCGGCACTTAGATGCGGCAACGCGATTCCGTTGACGTTTGCGCTCCAGCTTGATCTTTTCCTGTGTTTCCATATCGATTGGACTAACCGTTGGAGAGCCGGCTGGGTTCTGGGGCTCATCCTTGATGACAGGGAAGCCCTCGCCCATGTTGGCATAGGTGAAGGTCCCACCGCTGATGCCATTATTCACTGCCGTCATAGTAGTGCCAGTGACAGTTGGGTTGGCGGTTGGATTGCTGGCAGGGAAGGCCTGCGAATTTGTGTGCAGGTTCTGCAGCGCCTCTTCGAAGCCCTTGCCAAAGGCTTCCTGTTCGGATGTAACCGGTCCCACCTTGGTTGGAAACACTTTGCCCGGCTGCGGCGTTTGCATCATATGGTTGGACAGTAGTATTTTTTCCAGGTCTGGTGTGTTGACGGTCTTGGCTTGCAGATCTGGCGAATTAATCACCAGCGGCGCTATAATGCGTTTGTTCTTCGCTGCCTTGTTGTTCAGGTCCAAGAAGCCCGGACGTTTATTCGCATTGGGCGTTGAGGTGATGCCAGGTGTTTGGAAATCCAACGACATCGTCGAACTCTCTTCGTTGCCTACTGGTTCCGTCTTTGGCACAATTGGTGTGGCGCCCGATCCAGCACTGGCGCTCGATGCATTCGCACTGGATAGGGAAGCGGCGGACACGGGGGTTTTCATCTTTGCCCAAGTGATGACGTCAGACTGATTCCAATGAAACGAAATATAAACAAGAGGTTCAATCTGATAACTCGTTTCCCACTTGATGACTCATACAAATATTTGTTCTTCTTCTTACTCACCCGAACAAAATAAGTGCTGCGTAGTGTGTGGAATTTATTCCGTATTTGTATGTGCACGGCTGTGTGCGTTCCTATTCCCGGATCTTTAAATTTTACTACCGTATTTTGAAATAGCTCACAATTATTTCCTGCAATTTATTTATAAATTTAATTTCGCAAACTTCAAGTGGTGTTTTGATCTGTGGGTTTATCGATAACATATACGGTCTTACACCTCAGAAATATACCAAAATATACAGCCTATTTTAAAATATACCGTAAATATACTGACGAATTCAAGTTATATTATACATATTCCTCGATTTTGATATTCCGTGGAATATTACTAGCTATATAGACCATTTAGCTCTGCCGACATAATTTTATCCGATTAATGAATCAATTTTCTATTGAACTAACCTATTTTAAATACGTGCTTTTATTGTATTTTGACTAAAACAAGGTTAAAGCAAAAAAAGCTCTACAAAACACTGTCGCAATGTTTTCACGTCAATCTTGCTGGTATTTAAAGATTTGTTGCTTATCAACCGGAGTATGGCCATATTGATACCCTATTTCGTTAATTTGATATGAAGATCCAAACTGTTTTTAAAACTTAATTAATACAGACATTTTCTCAACAAACTGCAAAATATGGTTGAAATTCATTGTTTCTACCGATTCATACCCGATTCAAAGAGAGTCTTAACCGATGATATGGGATAAGAACGAAAAGGACTCACTCACATTAAAAAGTTTCCTCTCATCGGAATCATCCAAAAAGCTCAAAACGGAATTTTTGGAGGCCGAAGCCGAATTTATTTCAAATTGATGATAACTGTATAGCATAAATATGGGGTTTTCAAACTGTAGCATGTACATCAAATTTAAATGTATATAATATAGTATAGGTATGTAAATACATTTATAATATTTTGATTTAATATACTGAATATATTTTAACCAATCTTTAGTGCAGTTCAGCGGCTCATTTTTAACTTAGTTTTAGTAAGTTTCCATTTCCCTTCTCCTTTCTCCTTTCCATTGTAGTTTTGTATATTATATAATCACATCTATAGATCTTTTATTGTTTTTACACTGAAACACATTTAAGTATGTATATGTTTATTCGTAGACATGTTTTAATATATATATAGAGAGATTTATACATATGTATCTCTGATAGATTAGGAGTAGTGTTAGCTGTGGACAACCCATAAGCCGACAATTGGGACCATCCGGGAGATACTTTGATCGGCTCGACTCATTCTCTCCTACAATACAATCCTATTTTATATATGCCTGTATATTTGTGTCTGTCTGACCGTAACTGAATTCAAAGCTGTAGTTAAGCATTTGATTCTCGAACTGCGGCTAGCTGCCTATTTGGAAATCGCTCTCAAAATCTCGCAAGGAGAACTTAGTTATACAAAAACAAAACTAAAAACCGATTATGCGAATATTACATACAAATATGCGCTTAATTGTCTTTTGGTTTTTGATTTGATTATATATGTAGGTCCTGTGGATATATAGTTTGTATGATTACGACCTCTTTGTACACAAACACTTATGTAACTTTAAATATGTTTAGCAAACTTCTGTATTTGGACATTTAACATTCAATTAGGAGTGGAGTGGTTTAAAGACGCTGCTTAAATGGATTGTGGCTCGGTATTGGCGTATTGTATTTGTATTTGTATTCGTATTTGCCTGTAGGTATATAGCATATATAGCACTTCCCTTGGGTATCAGTTGAGTTTTTGTGCTACCGGCAAAGGGTTTCAAGAGCTGGTAAGTACATATTGTACGCCCCAAATGCCCCGCTTTTTTCGGTGTCAACTGCTGCAAGTCGATGTGATTATACATACATATACAATATTTTTGCAATTAGCATAGGTAGTACTCTAGGTTGCCCTCTGCCACCGCCTATGGAGTGGTAGACAGGAAAATACACACATCAAAATATTCTATATATTTGGTTTTGGTTTTGAATCAAACTTTTGATCTTTGCTAGTTCAGCATATTCTTTTTTGTTTTTGTTTTGGATTAACATATGGGGCCCCCTGCTTTTCGCTGTAGCTTCTTTTTTGATTATTCTTTTTAAACGCACACAAAGAAGATGATAGGAAAACGTTTATAGCCCAATCTCGCGCATGGCCCTGTACAGACAGGGATTCTTCAAGCACTCACGCGGTCCAAGCTGTCGGCCGGGCGTGCCGCGCAGAATCATCAGGATGGAACGGGCCACCGACTGACAATCGTTACTGCTGCCACAGATGCTGTCGGCCTCGGCCAAGTACTGATAGTCGCAGGCCACCTGCGAGGCTCCCTGGAGGAAAATTAGAAACAGTTTCATCAGTTCTGTGCCCCAGCACACTGCAGTGGGCCAATACTTACACAGAGATAGCATATTTGGTGGACACCGCACAGGGGAAGAAGCTCTTGGTTGACGTCCCCTGAAATCAAATCGACTCCCCGACAGCGCTCCGCCATGGACTCAATGACGGGGCACTGGTTGGAGCCGATTATGTAGTTCTTGTTGCCCAGATAGGCATCGTTCAGGGTCTCGTACGGGACACTACCAGCGGTGAGGGCCTCCTCCATGTTGTTGGGCTGCTCCGGATAGCGCAAGTACCCGCTGCGCTTCCTCTTCTCCATATCATGCGGCGGCTTGGCATCTCTGAGTGGTCATGGAAAAGAAGATTAGGTGTGGAATAATGATCTGGGATTTGGCTTACTCAGCCTGCTCCTTCTTGACGCTGTAGCGCTTCTTGGCCGACCAGTAGTTGGGCTCTAGGGTGTTTTCCTCCGAATCCGGCTCGATGGTATTGCGCATTAAGTGGTTTTCGTTGTCCACCGACTGCCGCAGCTTGTCCAGGGCACGACGCATCTTCTCCAGGCTGTAGGCCGTGGCCAGGCGGGACAGAACGTGGTCCTTGATCTTGCGTATGTCCTCCCTGTTGTTGACGCCCTCGTGTGCACCCGTATACTTGATGGTCTCATCGATGATGAAGTCCTCAATCGACTGCAGCTTCCTGTCCATGCTCTCCAGCTTCTCTGGATCCATGTCCCGCTTCTTCTTGCTCTCTTCCTGCGCATCCGGTTCCTCCTCTTCGTTGTTGTTACTATTATTGTTTGTGCTGTCACTTTCTAAACGCTTCTTCGTTTGCCTTTAATAAGGGGATTTGATAAGAGTTACTTCAGATATAATCTCCACTAGATCCAATCAAAACTCACTCAGTTTCCTGGGCAGACTTCTTCTTGCGGTCTAGGTCCAGACCAAAGTACTGGGACCAGTCGATCGACTTCTTGGCCCTCAGCATCAGATGGCCCACAGTGGGCGCCCGGAGATGCTTGGAGTGTCCGGCGACGCTGACTGCGGCTCGCTTCTTCTTGCGTCGCCGCTCATCGGCCTCCGCCTCGGTGTCCGGCTCGGCATCGCCCTCATCCTCGTCGAACTCATCGTGGTCGTCCTCATCGGAGCTCTCCTCACCCTCATCATCGTGCTCGTCCACGTCGTGGTCGTGCTCATCACTGTCCCTGCGATGTACGTGATCGCTGCGCTTGCGATGTCGGTACTCTGGACCCATGCCGGGAACGTGGTTGCCATGATGGCCGGCATGTCCGCCATGCTGGACCATCTCGCCAGCTCCAGCGGGAGCGGCAGGCTTCTCGTTGGTCACGTTCACGCGCTGGAAATTAATCTCCAATCGCATGTCACCCAAGGCCGTGGTCGTGGCTGGTGGCATCTCCGGGACATGGGCTGCGGTGGTAGTATTCGGCTCATCAGCCGAACGCTTCTTTTTCTCCTCCGACTGCTCCTGCAGCGGCTTTAGATGGGAGTCGACGGGCTTGCCAAAAAGTTCGCTCAGCTCCTGGGCCACTCGCTCGTCGGTCTTGGCCAGCGGCATCTGCTCCTTGTTGCTGCCAATTGCCCGCTTGGCCACTGGGAACCGCTTCTTCTTGTCGGCATTGGCATTGTACGGCAGCCATGGAAGGACCGGATAGGAGCGCTTCTTCTGCATCAACAGGTAGTATGGTGGCACGCGCATCCGCTTCTTCTGTTCAAACAGTTCGGGATCCAGATCTTGTTCTTGCTGGTGCTGCTGCGGCTGGACATCTTTTCCCAGTTGCTGGCGCTGGTCGAAATGATGCCACCACTGACGCACTGCATCCTTGTACCGCTCGCTGCGATCCTGTTCCCCGGCCTCCTCGATCTCGCGCAGAAACTGATCCGCCAGCTCGTTATGTGCGGGCTCTCCGCTTAGTGGTGGTTGATTCTCACGTTCACGGAACACAGACGGAGCTGGTGCATCTGCAAAAATGAGCGAAAAACCATCGATGACTTAACCTTGTGTCCTTGAAACGGAATCAGAAACAGGTTGCCCCGACTGACAGGCAGTCCATAAATCTTTTACCCAAACGGACATGCATCAAGTTGTTGGCCGTGCGAAAGCCATTAAATGAAATGACAGGAAGGAAGAAGGGCTGTTAGGATCTGCTTCCAGCTGGTTGCATTCATCATCGACCCATACAGTATCACCCACCTAATGCCACTCACAAGTTAATCGGAGCTAAGTGGTTTTAGCCGGGGCCATTGTTCGCCTCTTATCCGCTCAATCCTCCATATATTATCGGCCCAGCTTCTCGAGTGGACGGATGGGCCGACAAGCGTGTGCTTGTCCGTGTGCGTGTGCGTGCGTGTCTGTGCTTTGCTTTGAGCTTTTACTTACCGGGCTGCTCGTCACGTTCTCGAAAGAGGGACGGGGCGGCGGAGAAGCGCTTCCTACTCTCTTCGGCAAACAGATTATTGCGATTGTTGTCCAAATCGTCGCCAGCGCCGGACCCAAAGTCGTAGCCACTGAACGGTGGACCCAGGGCGCGATCCGGCTCAAAGTCGTCGGAATCGCGCCCTAAGTACTTGGCGAGCTCTTTATTAATTCGGTGCCGATTACGATTCTTACTCTTTCCAAATAAATCATCTGCATCGGAGGCAACCGGAGAACACAAATAAACGGGACCACGCGAGACCAAAGAGCAGAGAGGACAAAGGAAAAGAGAAACAGAAACGAAACAGAAGCAAAGAAAGAAAACGGTAAATGTGATTGTCAGAGTGCGCTGTGCTTTAAGGTGCTCAGTGGG